ATCTTTGTATATTCTGTATTTAATTAGTTAGTGTAATTTTGTTTATTTATTTACAATATTGATCATCCCGAAATGTCAACGTCATCGTTTGTTTGATCATATTTTAATGTTTATTGGCAATTTTTTAGAAATACTTTGGGGTAAAGTTATTTATCGCTTAACAAAATGAAACGAACCTTGTAGTACATAAAAAGTACTATCTTGTGGTCGTTCTCATCTGTTTACCTTGACATTCAAGTTTAGCTTAACTTACAATTTTAGTATTGGAATATCGAGAGAAGTATACTATTGTAAATTGTTTGAAGTTTGTTGTATAGGTTTTTTTTAAAAATATTTTCATGGTTTATGGTTACTGCGACTGTTTATTTCTCTGGACCTCTTCTTAATTGACTTATTACTGGTTACTGATTTGTATTATTTTGTATATTGTTGTATACCTGATAAAAAAAAAGTATGAAAGTTAGATGAATACTATACTTGTGTACATTAGTCTACATTATTCTTAACAGAATATATTATAAAGATTGTGGTTGCATATTATTTTGTTCGATATTAAACGAATTATATTATTTTATTCTAATATTATGCTAAAAATGTATAACTTACTAAATCGTGTCCGTGGTGCGAATTGTTGTTGGCAAACTCGCAACTTAACATTGTTATATCAAATCAAATAATAATTGCTAAGATTAAAGTGTGTAGTTTAACACAACAGAGTTACTGTTATGCAAATTATATTATTACTAACCATAATTCACTGAAATATGTATTTAAACCATCGACCACGCACATTGCAACCGACAAAAACAATTATTATCCAGTAAAAAATTTCCCATAGAAATGACAAATATCGAAGTCGTACTGTCATTATTAAGACCGGATATTTCATCGTTAAAATATAAGTATATTATATTTTGTTCTATTTACATTTTGTTTTTGAAATAGCCTGAAAGAAACGCGAATAAGTATAAAAAAAAAACAACAGAGTAAATTAAAAAAAAAAATTACAAAAATTTACCATATATTTAATTTGGTCATAAATAACATTGACTAGTATGAACACTAAAAAGTATATAATTAAGGTAATTAGATAAACAAAATATTACAACAATTAACAGTAAAACAGTAAAAGTAGTAACAACATTAAAAAAATATCAAAAACATTAATATCGAAAAAATTGCAATAAAAATAATGATGAAATAAAAAATAATACAAAACAATTTAGCAAAATACAAAAGACGTGTGTCGCTGCTGCTTAAGTCAGCTATATTATGTGAACTTGCGCCACTTGTGAACTTGGAAAATGTTAAATAAGATCATAAAATCATAAGAAAAGTAGGTATGATATTTTCACGGACGGATAGGCAAAGGTAGACCGGTGAACAAGTAGCCATCCAGCGGTGGCTTCATGGCACCAACAGCTGAAGTCGCGATGCTACTGTCACCGTTGTTCTTACTTGTCCTTCACATAAAAATAAATCTATGAAATTGCTCGGATCTGGAAATAACCATATACTTAGATTAGAATAAAACATTTTTTCCAACGGATTGATAAAAAACGAGCCACTAATTACAACAACAGCAGAAGACACGTCGACGAAGACTACTCTTTGTCGTCGGCCAATTGCTTATTTTTTAACGTTGACAAATTTGGAACTAATTCGACTAATTTTTAATTTAACTCTTTAAATCAAACACTAATTAACTTTTTCAACTTATTTCTATGGTGGTTTCAATAAGACACCACAGTTAACGATTAACTCGTTGATGACTGTTAATGTTACTCGAATGGAAGGTAAGAAAATATGTACATTTTTTGATCGTTTTTCTAGAATTTAAAAGGGAGGGAGTGAACTTTTTAATTTTTTGTCTCAACAAGTACCTTTTAGGCACTTTTTCCAAACTATTTATCCAGTATACAAATTAATATTTAAAAAAAAAAATTTTTTTTTTAAATTCAATTTAATAAATATAATATATTAATTCAATATTGTAAAAATCTGGGGACCGAGGGTAACCTTTCCAATTATTATTAGTTACCACTGCTGTTTAAAATTTAAATAAAATAGTTAGATGAAGTTTAACTATAACATTGATTATTATAAGATTCAATATTAAATTTAAAATTGTCTAAAAATGTCTGGTAAATGTTTGAGGTCATCGGCCTTTTTTCCTGGTTATTGTGGAATTTTTTAATAACTATTTCATGCACTTAAAAAAAAACAAGGAAGTTAATTTTCAAAATTTGAGAAATTAAATTAGGACTTATCGCAATTTTAATTGAAGTATCAAAAATCGATTCCCACAATAACCTAGAAAAGTGGCCGATAAACTCAAATATTTTTACAGAATTGAAATCGACCATCCTAATTAGGTAGTATTTTATCTCAGGCTTTCCGGTCTAAAACGTCCAAAAAACAGACCGTTTTCAATCCTCTTAATTTTTAAATCTTTATATAGCGTGAGATTTAGGGTAATTTTAGTAACTCTTCGTGTAGTATAAATGTATAAATTTTCATTTCTATCTTTAGGGTCATCAGGAGGAATACATTATTTGACCACATTTTTCTCCGGGAGCTGACTGACATTTTTCTGGAAACTTTTTAGTTTAGTTCTTTGTGAAACCGCTTTGTTAAAACTCGCGAATAATTAAAATATATATATTTGTTTTTAAATATGCCGTATTGTTGTTAAGTATTATTAAAAAATTAGCTGTATCGTTGTTAGATAATGAATAATAAATAAACTATTATAGATTATAGTTAGAAAACTGTTTGTCTAACAACCAATTACCCAGCAACGCGTCCATAGATATTTTTCTATAATCTATTTCGGTAATGTGAGACGTTATAAAACGTTGTCCGATTTGATTCGGCTTGATTTAATTCCATTCAAAATCATACTCGAATGTACAAAAACTGAGATATTTAGACATAATATTATTATTATACCATGTTAATTATACCTTGAGTTACTTACTTAAGATGTACATGTTAACACCAGTTTGTTATAAAGTTCTGTGTTAAATCTCCATAACGAAAAAGTACCAAAAATGTATATTAAATTAGTCGGAGCTTTAGACGGGGAAAAGGAAAATCGTAGTTAAATTCACATTGGTTAACCTAACCGTCCAATTAATAATCTATATATTTAAATTTAACTCGTATGTTTTTTGAGCCCAGTAAAATGTCACAAAATTAACGACAAAGTATTTTTTTTAATACAGATATTGTTTTAATACCTTAAAAATATCATCAACCCTTCCCTCCTTAGAAGGGGTTGACCCTGACGGATATATTTTTTGGTCATTGGGTACTTAGAAACTGACTAAAATGTATGCAGCTCAGTCGACTCTTAATGGTCCGTAATAAGAACAGTTGTCGATAATGTAGAAATACGATTTTATTTTGTATGTTTCACATTATTATTTTGTGTATTTTTGAATTTTTTAGCCCAATTTTTTTTTGTCCTGGGCCTTGTCCTGTTTTCGCCTACCTCTTTATACTATATCGTTACCTTTTATTTAGTTTGATCTCTAAACTGAAGTATAACAATTATGTATTAGCTTTTAACTGTTGACTCAACATGATCTTAGGTTAAAGCGAAAGTAAAATCTATCAAAATGTTGTTTTTCAAATAATACATTATTTCAGTCTATATTGATTGTATTAAATAAATTAAAACTCGGTTAAAACACATTTTTGAATTCTTAATTTTAATAAGTTAAAAAAATAAACATTAACATGTTCGCCTTGCACTTATACCAAACATGAAACAATATAGCTTCCTCTTCCGAATTGCGGCGATGGCTTCATAAAGTGTTTGATTATCAGAAACACACGTATGATACATGTACTTTTGTGTTACACGATATTCATGTTAAAAAAAAATTATTAAACATCTGTCGTTTCGGTAACGGTCTTGTACTTTTGTAATCCCGACTGTCCAGTCTGATCTCGATCGCATTATTTTGTTTTCATTTTTAAAGGAATGCGTGTAGGTAGGTATATGATATTGTCTATTGATATGAATTGTTCAACAGACAACGAGTTCTTAAAACAAACTATCAGACAGCATCACGCGGATGACGGCACTCGATGCCATGTCAGAATAACCGACACAGAGTGAATATGATTGTAAAACGTCTGTGAGTGAATAAATTAATGTTTCCAATCAAAATGGTAAATGATTTCACTCGGTAATAATAATCCTCGGTTAGCTAACGGTAACCTTTCATTCAACCGTAATTCTGTATAATTGTTGTTACAATTGTTACTTTAGTTCACACCGAACGTTGTCAATAGCACGTAACCCAATTCAATAATACTCATTTTACTGATATAGCAATGAGAATACTTTTCATAATAATTTTTCATTCGCACTTGATAAGTGGAAAGGAATCCCCGACCGTTACTACAATAATATGTTCTGTTGTACTAATACCGGTCTCAATGAATCCTAACTATAAACCATATTACATTATTATATTATATTATATTTTACATTGCATTATAGAGAACGATATTAATATGAGATTAAGTAACGCCATGTAGATGTGTGAGGAGATACAAGTAGCACACCAATTCTTATTGGTATGCTGATTGCTTTAGGTAAGGCCTAATATCGATGGGTTTAGAATTGTCACACTGCTCTAAAAATAAAGTCAGAAATTATTCTAGTCACACGCATAAAAATAAAATGTTTTATATATGTTTAAAAACATTTATTAAAAAAAGTAATGTATTCAAAATGTTTAAAACCTGTTTTTTAATAACGCATTTTTTAAATTTTGTAAAAGATTAATAGAAATTGAAACAAATAATATTTCCAACGAGATGACCATATTTGTTGAGTCTACGATAGTATTAAACTCTTACTGTAACACAGTAAGACGTTATAAGAAAAAAACCAACTCAAATTAAAAAGATGAATTTCTTTACTTCATTAAATATTATACAGTATACTTGTTTTACAATGTTATCGGGTAATTTGTCATTGTTACCAGAATTTGAGTACAAATATTTAAAAATAAAAGATTTTAATGACTACCAAATGCCACAACAATTATTTTGAACTAACTACGCTGGTATTAACGATATGTTTTGTAAATAAAAATCGTCTAACTTTTTTAAATATAAGTATGGATATTACAAGTGTCGAAAAATATTGCATCCACGCCCATTTAATTATTTGCCAAAATTTTGGCTTGTATACAATTTCAATGTTGTTGTAATTTATGATAGCATTAATTACAAACGGTTGCTGGTATGCACGGCCTCTAGTCCAAATCGAAAAAATGTTATCCAATTTGGTATAAACTAAAAATATAACATTAAGCTTAGTTTTTAATATTACTATATGTTATATATTATAGTACTAAATCGTAAATATAATATTTTTTATTCCACAATTGGCAGTGCCGTAACAAGAGGTGGGCAAGAGGGATACCTTCCAGGAGGGTCAGTCACATATATATTTTTTTCTTAACAAGAAAAATAAATAATTTTTCAAATAATTCAACGTCGTCGTATTATTTATTAATCATTACCCATTATTGAATCATATCCTAATATTCAAATTTCTTTAATAATATTTTTGAAATCGCCAGTGATAATCGCTTCCAATGAACGAAGTATCAGTTAACTAAAACTGATAAAACAATTTTTTTTAGATCAACGATAGGATAATAATTGCGTTAAACAAATCTTGCTAAATTATCGATTGAAAAAGAAATTGCCAAAACAATAAATGTTGATCATGTTATAGATAAGTTTGCAAGCGTCAACATAAGAAGACAACGGTTAATACGACAGACGAGTCCTAGATACTTCTTTCTGCACTCCTGTGTTTTTCACTGACAATAATTATTAATTATTCATTATCGTGAAATTACAGCTCAAATTTTATATTTTGGTGCAATGACAAAATAAATATACGATTTTGTTAAATAAAATAAAAATATATTATTACGGCACTGACAGTGGATAGCTTAGGCTATACTTGTCATATTTGGTATACAAGAAATATGTTCTAAATTTAGAACAATGGCTAAAAATATTGTACAAACTTACTGGTTCGTTTGGAATAATCATTATAGATATTTGCTAACCAGTTGGATTTTTCAAATTGTAAAATTCGTTTTTTAATGCGGATGGGTTTTTTTGGCGAACAATCCAGCGGAATTCTTTGGACTATATTTAAATCTCCAATTATGTTTAACCTGCCACCTGGCAGAGCAGAACTATGAGTAATAGCTACCATGGACTCCATTTCGAGTAAGCATAATTCCTAAAAAATATATATATATATATTTATATAAATACAATAACTTTGAAGTGCAAATGAAGCAATATTATTTACACGTATTTTAAAATCGAAAATCAATAGCAAAGTAACCGAATGCACGTCTAGAGTGTCGTTAGTTGCCAAGTGTAGCTCCAAGTTCAGCAAGTCTTTAATGCCGTCTATGTTGGTATCTTCTTCGTTTACCTTAAACAAACATAACACAACTAAATCTTTGAAATTCCACTATGTTTGAACTTTGTCTTGAAATGTATTTTGTTTTTTATTGCAACTACAAATCACATTAGCCACTCCGGCCTCAATGTGCAGTGTGTAACATTTATATGACTTATAACTATATAGGTACATATTTTTGACATCATAATTTTTACTCAAATACAATTTTCAAAAAAAAAAAAAAATCTTAATTACAACTTTAAATTGTTAGATATCAATTCCAACAACTGTACCTACCTTTATAATGGGGCAGAATCCTGTGGTTTTTATTGTGTTAGGAAAATTACCACAAATCACCGGAGCCATAGGATCGGAAGTTTCGGCTATCATTAAATACTCCAGTTTAAATTGTACTGTTGGTTGTTCCATGTACTTTTCATACTTGAGCCAAAGTCCTGCGAATTTTACACGGATATTTAACAATTTAGTTATTTAAACTGTACAACTAGTAGCATCATGTACCGTTACTTCTATAACAGAACAAAAATGGTAAGAAAAATGTTAATAATGTTATAACTGTGTACAAAACAAATGCTTTGGAACAAACAGAAGCTTTATATTTTAATCCCGAAGACTGACTGTAGACTTCATACATCGACATGTTTCAGCAAAGTTCTGTTAGTTAAACACAGAAACGAAACATAAATAGGAGGAAGTAGGGTTTGTTTTGTTGATAGTTTCCGTGGTAACAGGTACTCCTCTTGAAACGCAACCCTCGTTTTACCAGCAACAATATTATTTACAGAGTTTTCTCGTCTCTGTATTAACATAATAATTTATTTGGGGGATGTCACTTTTAAATTTTGGCTATACTCATGTACTCTCGCCAATTCGTGGTTGGGTCTCAATATGCGTTTAAATTTATCATTATGTATAAAATAATTACAACCATTTCGATTTTTCATTACCCATTTTTATACATTTTTAATTATTGCTTAGGGTATTCTATAGGTCAGATTTGTCCTCGGGGTTTGCGAGGTCTAGGGCTAAAACGCAATATCAAGTGGAAATTTGTTTTTAATTAAGTCCGAGTCCTGTGCCCTGTTCGGCCTCTATGTAGGTACTGTCCTGTCTTGAAGTTTATTAGGGTCTCTACTATTATGTTTAATTACTATAGTCTTGAAAAAATAAAATAATAACCTGTCGGTTAAAATCTATACGAAACAAATCTCCATACGACAAATATATTAAGGCTCTTAAGACGAACAATTGTGTAAGACTTTTTTAGAACAAGGTGAGCAAAACGCACGTTAAGAGTGTACGTCTAAATGATTTTTTTTTTTGCATTGAGTTAGCTTGTTGGCATATTTTAAACATTTTGGAAACATAGAGAAACAAAATGCATTATACTACGTGCATATGCATTATAATATTCGGTTTTTGTTGATACCTCTATATTAGCTACATTACAAATGATCACTCCAAAAAAAATAATTACCCACGTGAACTCCTCATTGCTGTATTAAAAAAAGTACTATAAAATGACAAGATTTGCCTTTACCGAACAATTTTACAGGCATGGCGTTCAATCATAGAAATTAAAACAAAATACTTACTTAAATAAAAATATGTGGAAAGTTATGTCATAATAATATGGTTCTCGAGGCGCTATCTAGCGTATACAATTGATACTATGAACGTACGGTGTTTGTACTAAACAGCAGCTGTTTAACTGTTGGTGCATTATTACCGAGCGGTTATCAAAATGTACGTAAACATTAATAGGAAAAACATGATAACGTTTAAAATGTAATTTAGCTGAAAGCGTAGTTAATGGAAAATTTAAAAATATAATTACATAAATTGATACAGTTTTGTCTCATTTTAATGCGTTTTGTATTCTTGTTCTAAACGATAAATCCATTTAGCCTACATGTCTGGCTTCCCGTCGTCGTATTCGCCTAAATCGTCACCGCGAGGAGCTAGGTCTCCTGTTGTGTCAAGACAAGATTCGACGGGCACACTCAAGACAACCATTTCCTTGGGCAAAAATCCGTCGATCGTACACAGTGGACCATTCTATCTTATGAAAGAACCACCATGTAAGATATTTGCATACAATTTTACATTAAAACCTTAAATGGTTTAAAAACGAAATACTTAGAAAATATCTAAAAAAAAACATGTACACCTGCACTAGTTAGAAATTAATTATTTTTTTTATATTAATATCCATCGGATAAGTCCGCATGCAATTAATTTCACTGGATCGTGTTATAATTTGGTCTCACATGATAGGTTCTAACTCATGTACTCTTTAAGTCGTTATTTTTTAGTTTTATAGGCATCATGAAAACAATTTTTTTTTATACCCTATATTTAATTATATACTAATCATTAGATATATAATTTATCACTATATTATTATGCGTTTGTTATTACCTATATTTAGGAAATTGTATTATTGTTCTTTAAAATCAAACTACATACAATACTTCTCAAGTTTTTATTAGAAATAATATTATGTTCAATTTTGTAAATGTTAACTATGTCAAAAATATTCAACATGATTATGGTTTTATGAACTTTTTACGCCTAATAGGTACTAAATATTAATTTGTAATAAAAATACAAATTTAATAAAAAGTGAACACCTTATCTATCACGCAGCACCTGAGGTTAAGTTGTGTCCATTGTTGCTTGATCCAAGTTGGGTGACCATCCAGGATTTTTAATGGTGACTCATGCCATGTCCCCACCACACGTATTCTATACTCATACAACACCAAAAATCAACCAACAGCTAATGGTTTAAGTTCCAGAAACTTAGAGAAAAAAAGAAAAAAAATATTTTAACCGTGTCACCACATTTTTTTTTACCAAATGTAGACGCAAATAAAGATTAATTGTTTATCAGTCTACCAAAACATTAACATGCCCTTAATTAAAAACAATTTATAAATTTTAGTAGTTTGATTATGTATCATGAAATTAACTAAATCAACTAAACAAAATGAACTGTTCCTAACTCAGTCACTCAGTATGTGCTTACACAAAACTGTTAGTTTTAATAATGCATATTTTTTGTATATTAATTATTATATATATTTTTTTTTAGGTGAAAGTGAATTGACTGGATCTGTTAATTTGATGGCGTATTATGGATTAGAACACACTTATAGCAAATTTAGTGGGAAGAGATTAAAAGAAAGTCTTTCTTCTTTTTTACCGAATTTACCCGGTATCATCGACACACCTGGACATAATGATCAAAGGTAGATATCTACATAAAATTATTTACAGCTTTTGAACTTTTTAAATACCTAGTGTATATAAAGGCTATTATATTACATCTGTTCACCATAATTAAGTGTAAACTTGATGTAGGTAATAAATCATTGTAATATTAATACTTACTTAGCCTTGAGTATAAAATTATAATAAGTTAATGTTTTGCTAATGATATTTTCTATTGCTCAATGAACAATATTCATTAATGTAAATTTAGCACATGAAAATATTTTATACTAAAAAAACCCAAACTTGCTGTAATTTATTTTTAAGAATATAATGTTATGTTCTGTATTTATATCTATTTTCTATTTGGTATTCGGTTTAAGATAAAAGGCATAGTAGGTAAGTAAACATTTGGTGGTTACATAAGACATAGGGAAAGTTAAATATTATACTGGTGTTAAAACAAAAACCAATTTTGAGATAAAAAATTAAGGAAACTCGTAAAGTTAAAATTTTAACACAATTGTAATATTAATTGCAGTTCATTACGGTCTGTTATTGAAAAACCACCTATCGGAGGAAAAGAAATTTTGCCATTAACTACTCATCAGTTAGCTGGATTTCGATTGCATCCTGGACCGGTAACTATTACTATTATCATTGATTATAAATAATAATTATTTAAAATCAATGTTATTATATTATTGAATTGTACACCCATTTAATTTAATGTTGACTTTTTAACTTTAGTTACCAGAACAGTATCGCTATGCCAATCAGCCGCCTAGTAAAAAACATAAAAATAAGCATAAGAAAAGCAAATACAAAAGCGGAGAAGCTCTTTCTCAGGACATGGCCGCAAATGAGTTGGGTTTAGGTGATATTCATGAGAAAAAACACAAAAAGCAGAAACGTCATGATGACGATAAAGAACGGAAAAAGCGCAAAAAAGAAAAGAAAAAGAAGAAACAAAAGCACAGTCCAGATCACCCTGGGAATATTACGCCCGGCCAACATTCAAACTGATATTAAATGTAATATATTTGTATTATTTTTCCTTTAATATATTTTGTAACTTAAAACTTACTAATAACTGTTTCTTCAAAAATCAAGAAATGTTTATACAATGTAAATAAAATATTATCATGTTGTAAGGATTTTTGAACAAAACATTTACATGTATATTAATTTTTTATTCGGTGTTCATAAAAGGTTAATTTTTTTGTTTAAAAAAATAAATGAATTTACCTACAAAACACGGATATTTTATTAATAATTAATTTCTTCTTTATCTTCGCTTTACACTCCCAGCCACATGGGGTTGTCCACCCTAGTTCTACATCTCTAAAGAACTCAGTCTTCTAGATCTCATTCAATCACTCCAGCTTTTCTCATATCACTCTCTATTCCTTTCATCCATCTTTTCTTCGGTCTTCCTCATCTTCTTTTTTAAAACAGTCAACAATGTTTCAGGCTAGGATCAACTTAATCCAAGACAAAATAAATCCATTATATATATGATGAAATCATGTATAATTATTTCTTGACAACAATATTGTAAAAGTATTTTAAAATGCTGTTTTGGCGGAAAATAAAATATGTTTTAAAAATATTTATATTATTTGGTAATGTGAAGGGAAAAAATCTTAAATATGATAAATCATGTTTCCCTTATTACATACATATATTAACCCATTATCATCTAGCGTTAAAATACGGCAACAGTTATACAAAAAAAGTATTTAAAACAATTGTTTTTTTTTATTTAAGCAATGGTACTAATTGGTAAGGGTAATATTATGAAATACAGAAAACTCTATGGAATCTACGAATACATGGCTAATGTAAGTTTGCGTCCAAAATTGGTTTACCAAAAAAACATAATACAGCTTGGCTTTGCAAGACTAAATTATTGTACTAATTATAATTATTATTAATTATATGTTTAATTTATGCTCGTTATCACTTATCACAATCCACAAGTCTCTCTCTATCTTCCAATTACAACCGCGGTCTAAAAAAAATGTCTGTGATTAAAACAAAATTTATTATCATATTTTTATCAATTTATTACCATTATCATCTTGGAATTTCACTAAAAAACAAAAATTAAGAATTATTACTTGTTTGATTTTTATTTTTTTTACTACAAATGATAATAGGTACACTTAAGTATTTTAAATAATTACAATTGTTTCAAAATGTTGTACAATTTAAGTTAATTCTAATGAGTAGCAATGGAATCTAGTAACAAATTCCAAAATATGAGTTCAGATTCTGATTCCAAGTCGAGCTCGTTGAATTCAAAAGTCGAACAAGAATCAGTAAGTCTTAAAATTATATTGTAATGTTTTATTGAAATAACAATTACGTAATATTTTGGGTTGTTGTAATTCCCAACTTAACAATTTTCTTAACAACTTAACTAAAATTGTTCTTGATGAGGAAGTATTTTACACTCACTAACGACTCACTAGTCTTGCTTAACATGTAATAACTTAAGTATAGTTTAGCGGCTAAAACTATAGCTTATAATTTTAGTATTGTTAAACTGTATTTAATTTTTAAGCTAAATTAGTGAGTATAGTTATATGTCACATCTGTTTTACATTTTTAACAATAATAGGCAATTAAAGAGCTTGTACTTTATTAAAATAGTGTAATTTAAATTATTAGGGATCGAATTCACCTATTAAAAGTCGTCGATCAACAAGTTCTACGTCAAACGAGAATGCTTTTGTAGGAGATTTAAAATTAAGAAATAAGGTAAATTCCGTTCATAGTATGATGGATAATATAAATAATTATGTACTTAATTACTTTTATTCGTTTTAGGTGTCTGACAACACTAACTCTAACCACTCGGATGATCCACCATTATTACCTGGAGAAAAAGTACAAGGTGTTGCAAGAGATGTCACTTATCTTTGTCCATTTAGCGGCCCAGCAAGGGGTTGGTTATCTGTAACCAATTATAAACTTTATTTTAAAAGTTTAGATCGTGAGACTCAACTTATAATCGAAGTGCCCTTAGGCGTGGTTTGTGTTTTACTTATAATCCTGTTCAACAAATAATTTACTTACAATAGAATTAATATTTATTTCATGTACCTTATTATTAGGTTAGTAGAGTAGAAAAAGTGGGAGGCCAATCAAGTCGTGGAGAAAATTCATATGGTATAGAATTGTTCTGCAAAGATATGAGAAACCTGCGCTTCGGCCATAAGCAAGAAAATCATTCAAGACGTAATGTTTTCGAAAAACTTCAACAATATGCGTTTCCTCTTTCTCATGACATTCCATTGTTTGCTTTTGAGAATACAGAAACATTTCCAGAAAATGGTTGGAATGTATACGAACCTATGGCTGAATTGAAAAGAATGGTGAGTTGCTGTAAAAAACAAATATTTTTGTAAAATGTGTATGTGTCAGCAAACCTGGGCATTTTTATTTAATTAAAAAATAACAAATTATTCGAAAATAATGAATTATTCAAAATAGTTTGTATTTGCTGTATCTAATAAATTTGTACTTAAAATACTATTTTATTTGACATTTCCAAAATATAACCTGTTATTTAAAAATATATATATTTGAATTCCGTAATTTTTTATTTCAATTATTTCTGATTATTTTTTTTAATTCTTTCAAATAAAAATGTACTTGAATTTTGAAATTATTAGTCCATTTTAAAATCAAATATGAATTATTAGAATTTTTTTTTAAAAACAAAAATTCTAGAGTTCTATTGTGACAACTTTTTTCAGATCATTTATTTAAGGCTTTTATTCTATTTTTTTATTTTAAATAAAATAAAGTCAAGACAATAATGTAGTGTAATAAAAAATTTATATTTTCATGTCCAAACTCTGTTTATTATGCGATTAATTTGTTAAAAATACAATTTTTTTAATAGTTAATTTTCAAATACAATTTAGGGCGTTCCCAACGATACATGGCATATTACCAAATTGAATGATAGCTATGATCTTTGCGAGACATATCCCGCAGTTCTAGCAGTACCAGCTGGAGCAACCGATGAAATAATAAGGAATGCGGCAGCTTTCAGAAGTAGAGGTCGAATACCCGTACTTAGTTGGCTACATTCCGAATCACAAGCGACCATAACTAGAGCTTCACAACCCTTAGTCGGCGTTGGGGGAAAACGTTGTCGTGATGATGAAAGATATACCCAGCTTATTGTTGATGCAAATGCTCAATCGCATAAACTATACATAATGGATGCTAGACCTAGGTAATACCTACCTTTCAAACTTAAGATTTTTTTACTTATCCCTGGCCAATAACATGTTTTCTAGTGCTAACGCAATTGCAAATAAAGCAAAAGGAGGTGGTTACGAGCCTGAAGATGCTTATCAAAATGCTGAACTAATATTTTTAGACATCCACAATATTCATGTGATGAGAGAGTCTTTAAGAAAATTAAAAGGTTAGATAATCATGAAATAATATCAGTGGTTTAATAAATAGTTTTGTATTATTAAAAAAAAATATATATGAACTATTCCTTGTATTATAAATGTAGAAATATGTTTTCCTAATATCGATGAAACAAAATGGTTGTCTGGCATTGAATCAACTTATTGGTTAAAACATATTAAATGCATATTGGCTGGAGCTTGTCGTATTGTCGACAAAGTAGAAAATCACAAAACATCAGTTTTGGTTCATTGTTCAGATGGTTGGGATAGAACAGCTCAGGTAAAACTCAAAAAAAAAAAATATTAGTGTGTGTAATGTTTTTACTTGTGTATAACTTCAAGCATTTGTGTCAAATTACATCATTGTTCGCATGACGACATTTGTACCGCTCTCAATCTTATGTGGGAAAGTTATGCAATTAATTTTCCCATTTTCTTTTGTGTTCTTCTTTTACAACTAGAGAATACTTATTAATCCCATCAGGCTGTATTCAAGCATTTATAATAAGTAGCTGGTTTTTTTTCAAATAAGGCAACGTAGATGATTCCCATGAAACCGCTTAAAAAATAATGTATAATTTAACCTATTTTTCTTTTTCAGTTGACTGCATTAGCTATGCTATTGTTGGACCCATATTACCGGACAATCAAAGGATTTGAAGTCCTAATTGAAAAAGAATGGCTAAGCTTCGGACACAAATTTCAACATGTAATATTTTAAATTAAGATTTAAAAAGTGTAATTCTTTATAATTTTGGTACTATATTATACTCAGAGAATCGGTCATGGCGATGATCATCATTCGGATGCTGATAGGTCTCCAGTTTTTCTACAATTCATTGACTGTGTATGGCAAGTGATGTGTATGTTTCCCAATGCTTTTGAGTTCAATGAATTGTTTTTAATTACAATAGTCGATCATTTATACTCTTGTCGATTTGGTACTTTTCTATTTAACAGGTAAGCACTTAATAATTTTATTCCATTAGAAAATCATAGAATTTTTTTTGTCTTGTAGTGATAAAGAGAGAATACAGAAAGAAGTAAAACAGAAAACCGTATCGCTTTGGTCTTACATAAACAACGATCAAGATTTATATAAATATCCTTTATATTGGCCTCAACAACATGCTTTGGAACCAGTCCCTTCCTTGCGTTATATCAAAATGTGGAAAGGCTTATATTGTCGATGGAATCCTAGCATGAGACCTCAGGTTGCTTATAAATATAAAGTCTATTCTTTATGTTATAAATATAGTTATTTATTTTTTTTTTTTTAATCAGGAACCAGTATATCAAAGAACTAGGGAACTTCTACATAAGAAAACACAACTAGAGAAACAATCTGATGACTATAGAAGAGAACTAAAACACAAGGCTTCCAGAAACTCTTCAACGACAGCTCGATTAACTTCTCCTATACATATTTAATATATGATATAGGTAAGTACAAAAATATTTTTAATTTATTTATTAACAAATTTTTAATTTATACCTACTTTATAAAATATATTTTTGTTACCTATCAATAAAGTGTTATCCCTTTTTTGAAATATTTTGATTTCATTTATTTATATTAGTATTTTTATAGTTCTAGTTTGCAATATTTTGAGTTGTGTATTTTATTGACCACATCATTTTTTCACTGAATTTGTAAATATTTTTTTTTTTAAACCAATTGTGTAGCTTATTTTTATGGTTAAACATTCAATATATTGAACGAATTTTTGAAGTTAATTTTGTTTGTGTTAAAAACTAATAAAATGTGATCCTGCTATTATGAAAATTATTTATTAAATTATATAATATTACTAATATAAAAAAACATACATCTTTTCTTTAACTAATTTTTGAAAATATTTTATTCTGCCATAGATTAAAATGTTAAGTATACAAAAGATAAACACCACTAATGTAATAACTGGCAATACTAATTTACCCACATTTCTGGATTTGCTGCTGCTACAGCTAAAACTTTTATGAAATCCAAAAGAGCAGCTTTAAAGTTTTAAAGCGAATAATAAATCGACTCCGTTTGAATGCTATTATTATAATATTAAATATTATCGCATATTGTCAGTGGCCAATGAAAAATATGTTAAAATTATCGAATCGACTCAATTTGATAACTTTTTGTATAGTTTATGCAAGCCAAAGTTATAAATAAAAATAAATTGGCAATTTTTACCAATTATGAGAAGTAAGCAATACATTCTCTGCTAATATGTTGATCAACTATAGGTGTGTATGTATAAAAACGAATACAGAATGTAATAAACTTTTTAAATAGTAAGATTTATTAAATAAATTGTTAAATGTTATTTAAAAAATATTGCACATGTTCTAATTAAATTACATTTTCGTAAGAATAATATTGCGTGCGAAAATTCACCAAATGCATTTAAAAATAATAATTAATAAAAATTGTTTTACCCCTACATTGAATAGTTAATAAAAACAATATGAGATTAAAGTACAATAACTTCTTAGTTCCACATCGAAGCTAAAATAAATGTGTAAATTTTGTTGTATATTTACTAATAGCATTGAGTAGAGAAACAATTTGGCCCAATTATGATTGTATTAAATATTAGTTTTTTAAATATGTACTCAATGGTAATAGTATCAAATATTTTGAGTTATTTATTGTAACATCTGCCAGGTTACCATAAACTGTCATGATGACCTTTTAGGCCAGTTTTTACCGACTCTCCATCTTGATTCATTCTTAAACAACTCGGGCAATCAGGATGTAGATTGACTTCACTGAATTGATGTTTTACACTAAAGTATTCATAATATAAAAAAATGTAAACAAAAAAAAAATATATTTATCTTTCATAATAGTTTTAAAATATTCTCTAATAAAGTTTATTTTTCCTTATCAATGTTTTTTTTTTACTTACATGTCAGTATTTTTGCAGTAATCATACTTCGTGCTTGCAGCACTGGCGTTCTCTGTAACAATCTGAACATCAAATTTTTACTTAATAAGATGTAGTTAATTTTAACGCATGAATTTAAATCAATAAACAATTTACTTCGCCCATTGAGTCATGATGTTTATGAGCTGCATGCCGGCCAAACTTTGGATGACTTTGGTATGCTAAGGCCCTGTATAGTATAATTTAAAAAAAACAAAATAATAAATAATTAATAAAAACATTTTTTTTATATATATATAACATTACCAAAAATACACATAAAAAAAAAAGCTGTCGTTTTGTTCTCCGATAATATTTTTATGTATAACGAGTATGAATAACTTAGATTATCATTGTTAAATCTAATCAATTTGTTTTTTAATATTTAACAATATTACTGGCATACCTTCTTTAATTAATAATTATAGTTAAAATACATAAAAAAAAAAATTTTAAAAAACAGTAAGTCTCACCTTTTTTCACTGTTCTTCTTTCTCTCATCAGCTGAAAATTCAATAAAAATGTATATTAGTTTCATATTTTAACTAAAATGTTTTAAAAGTTACCAGGATCACAGAAGAATTCTTCAAAGATCACAAAGTTGCTTTTTTGGTTTACCAATTTAGATAAGTTGTAATGCTTCCACATAAATTGTAAAAATACCTTTGTTGGTTTTTCAATAGCCAAATGCTTAGCCTCCGTATCCGTGTCCTAGAGAGCATTTTGAGATTATCACAAAATTTAAATAGGTTTTAACTATTACTCATAATTTGTACTACAGTAAAGCCCAAGTAAATCAGAATTTACAGAATTTTATCAGAATTTTGTATGGTCTTGCCAAATTGAGTTGGTAATACATTTTAATAAATAATATGGAAACCTACTTAATACTGAATTTTTCTTTGGGATCCGTCTCAATTAGTTTTAGGCAAATTGAAGGAACATTAAAATATACTTATAATTACTATAATTAAATATGTAGGTATACCATAAACATATATTCAAGAAGACGTTTTCCATAACCCTTTCTCTGTCTTTTTTCATGTATGTAGAAATCTAATAAATAATAAACAATTTCGTCAGAACAGGAACCTTCTTTGTCGTAAAGCGTCAAATTTATTAATCCCATTTTCAATATTCCAACGACAGCAAAACGCCTGTACTTAACAAAAAGTATATTTATTTTAAAAACAAGCTGTGCACTCCTATACAGATTAATTAAAATCTTGATGAGAACAAATTTGTCTACCCTTCTTCCGGGTGTTCCGTCATCACGTAAAGCATATGATTAGAGTTGACAAGCTTCTCTGCACTTGTTACTGGAGACTTTAAGTTCTGAGCTTTAGCGGATGCATTGCCCATACAGTCAACTATCAATTTAACTCTTTTTTGCAATCTGTGATTAAAAGTAATCGTTAATGTGAAACATTTATAACATAGTACGTTTTCACCAATTATAATTTAGATATTTCTCTTAGAAATTGGTGGCTATCCTAATTCCTAACAATATTAGGTACTAGGTAGGCAGTTGTAATATGAAACCACCGTCTCCGACTACCACAGGTATTACTTGCTGATTATTGTATTTTTACCGAAAATATATACTTACTCTGCGTCTGTCTCGTCATTTTCTTCATGCCCACGTACTGTTAAAGTATCATCTATTTTTAGAAACTCTTGAGTCGCTATATCATTAATGGGGAAATCAAAATCCATCGTTGACGCGATTTGTTGTTTCGATTCGAAATAAAAGTGCGTTAACTGTTGACAAAAGTGCGCACTTAATTAAAATAGTACGCAATATAAACTATATTATAATAACTGCTAGGTGGGACGTAGGTATGTAGACAGTATTTTAGGCTGTACTGTAGTTAAGGTTTCCTAAGCACACCTAATAAGTACCTTTGTATTAACCCACTTGTAGCTGATGCCGACGTCTACCTACCTACTAGCTGTACATTTTGTCTATATCAACTATTATTACTTTTTCAGTTGGACAACAATAAAATAGTAGAAGGTACCAACGTTCGGTGAAATATTTTTCATCCTAAGTCAGTTAACTCTTCTATATACTATATAGATAAATAGTTTAGAGCATACAGCTTCACACTGAGAGTGGTGTGGTCAACGTATGTGCACGTAACAAGGACATATACTATACATAAGGGGATTTGAGTATTCGACTGATTTATTTTGTTGTCGGCAGCCTATATTCTATATATTTATAGTTCACCTATTAAATGTAATGAATATTATAACTGGTCGGTGAATTATTTAGAATAATTTCTCATTAACAGTCATTGACGAGTTGAAGGGTTTACTATGTTTTTAACCGATTTCAAAAAAGGAGGAGCGGTTATCAACTTGACCTGTATGTATTTTGAAGCATACTTTGTAACGGGATAACATCTGGATAATTTTTATTTGTTTTGTTTGAAAGTTTGGGTTTTCTTATTTGTTCCATTAAAATTTCAAAGTAATTGAACCTAATTAACCTATTTTTTTAATGCTTTTTCGTTCAAGTTACAATAGAACAAAAATTATTAATAATTCATATGTTTGATATTAAATTGTAATGCGTTATTAAAAAATTGTTGAGCACTACTCGGTTAATACTTAGATTACATTAAAATTATAAATAAATTAATATATATATATGTAACGTTATTTGGTTTTAAAAATTACCTGCTAACTACCTTTTAAAGTAGTAGGTATAATACTATATATACTAACCTCTTATTTTTGTTACCTATAAATTGTAGTTTGGCATTTATAGACATTTATAGGAAGCAAAACAAGAAAATTAGAAAGACTAAACAAAGTTAAGTCTTGAAAACGAAAATATTAGAAAAATAATTCAAGATGAAAAGGAGTTTTAATCAACAAAATCTTCTAAGCAAAGAAAAGAAGCATGAAACTAATTGATAATATTGAAATTACATAGTAATATTACAAAAATAATAATACATAAATATTTATCAAAAATAAATTGTTAATAATAATGATTTTTCCTTTAATAATATTTAACAACATTTTTAACTAAAGACATTAATTATTAAACAGAAATTGTGTTATAATAAATTATTAATAATAAAAATTGTTTTCAAAAAACTAATAAAAATACTGATAGTTTATAATACAAGATGGCATATTGCATAAATAATAATAATAATAATAATAATAATAATAAAAACAAGTATTATTCTCAATGTATGCAAATTCTTTGATTCGGAAAAATACAGTTTTGGTAGGACAGATTAAGTTCACACATCAGACTAATAAAAACTTAAGATATATATGTAAATTAAAAATTAAAGAAATATCACATTGTAAATTGGGATATGCTGTATACGCAAAGAGAAAATAAAAATTAAAAACAAATACTTTATGCTCAACTTAAAAATGATGCAGATATCAACAATTTTTTTTTTTTGTAAAAATGTAATGATTAAGTAAAATATCAAATTAATTTGAAATATATATAAAATAAATCAATACACGTTGAGGAGTGTTTTATAAAGGAAATTTACTGTCAAATTAAGATAATAATAACTTAATTTATTGTTTAAGTTTTATTTGTTCTCGAGTTAACATTAAGCGATAAGTAGAAATGAAAGTTATTAAAACTCTACTAAATGAATGTGTTTTTTATGACTAGAAGACTTAAAATTATCCAACTGTAAAAAAAAATTTAAGATTGATTTAGAAAATAACAATTAAATGTATACAATTATTTAATATATTAATCAATAATAATTGGAATGTAGAGTTGTACCTTGTATGCGTTGCATCTATTATCTACAACACTATTTTAACAATTTTAACTGTTAACTATATCTTAATACAAAAAATAAAATATCAGCTAATAATTAAAGAGTGCGTAGAAAATGGTAATAGAATTGGAATGTAGAATTTCATAAATTTTGATATTTATGAAAACTATGTGTGTGGTGTGAAATACATACAAAATTATGTATCTATAAATATAATATTTAAAAATTATAATTTTCTTAGAAAAAATTAAGTAACAAGTTAGGAGTAGTGTTACACATGGTATGCAATCAATGATATAAGTACAACAAAAACTATAACAATAAAAAATGTTTTAGTTTTTTCTTAAAATTTATAAGGCACAAGATAAGATAGTATATGTTTATAGTTTAAATGTTTATCCATACTATCACTCTATCAGAGTTCTAGGTTTTTATTACAATTATGGAGAGCAAAACAACTAAAACGTATTATTATAACTTTGTAACAAAATCGATTAGTTATATTAAGGCACTAGTTCTTGTTTATAAGTAAAATAATTATACATTGAGCACATAAAAAAAATGTTGATAACAAATATTTTCAATGTTTTAAAATACCACCTGTGGTAGGTATTAAAATTATCAAAATTGCCGTCATTGTATATTTTGTTACTTATAATTTTTTTTATAAGTTACACATTTTAAGTAACTTGTATAAGATACATTTGAATTAAGTCAAAAAATAATTACAATAAAAAAATAATAATAATAAGTAATAAATAACAAAAATTGCACAAACGAACATTGTGTCGTTTACCTCTTAACAGTTGCTATGTCTCGAGCCTCGTATTAATGGCACTAAAAGCGATGGTGGACCGGCCAACCTTAAAAATGGATGTTGCAATAACTCAGCCGCAGTCGCTCTTTGTGCTGGATCTCTCACCAACAACCTTTCCAAGAAACCTTGTAGTCTTGGAGATATCTAAATAAAAAATTTAAAAAAAAATACATTACACTTCTAAAATAAACTTTTTTTTCAATTAAGCAGTACTTTATTGGAATTTTTTAGTTTAGGTGGAGGCATGTCACGAATTCTTCGCATGGCTTGTAAGGGCGGTTCATTGAAGAAAGGTGGTTCACCATCAACCATTTCTATGACCATTATTCCTAGAATTATAAATTTAAAATAGAATATGCATGGTAGTTAAAAAAAAAAAAATTTAATTGGTTACCTAATGACCAAATGTCAACTTCCGGCCCATAAGGTAAACGTGATATCACTTCTGGAGACATCCAATATGGTGTTCCAACTAATGATTTTCTCTTAGGTAGTTCTTGAGACACTTGAGCACAAAAACCAAAATCGGAAATTTTTACCTAAAAAAATGATATAAAATGTTCGTTAATGTTTCACAACAAATGTTGTATGTATTAATTGTAAATAAATAAATTATTACTCTTCCGTCTGTGGTCAAGAGTATGGAGTCGCTCTTTATATCTCTATGTATAACTCCTTGTGAATGCAAATAAGCTAGAGCTTTTAAACATTGTTTACAAACTGTGGCGATTTGTTCTTCATCCATTCTAGTGTGTGTAACCATATCTGTAAGCGCTCCACCTTCCAAATACTCCATAACAACCCACAACTCATCGCCGACCAAAAAACTATCATACATGTCTACTATGTTGGCATGATGGTAATCCCTCATAATAACAACTTCGTTGAACAATAGCTCTCTACGTTGTTGTTTTCGTAAATCCATTTTCTTCACAGCTACTTTGCGGCCAGTAATTCGGTCTGTAGCAATACAAACTGTGCCTGTAGAACCTTCACCGATTTTTTTAAAACTGTCCAAATTTTCACGAGGATCACCTGGACTAACTACAAGTTGTAGAGCTGCTCTGAACTAAAAAAAAAATATAAATGATTGTATAAATTATTGTAATATTTAACACAAATTACAATGTAAGTGTGATAAAATTTAAAAAAAAACATTAAAATACTTGTTCATGTGTAATACGCTGCTGTTCATGATGTTGTTTAGTAGCAACACTAGGAATTGATGTATTGCTGACTGAAGACATTCCATTTGTTGTAGGTTTCAAATTCTGGTTTTGATCTGGAAGTCTATGTAGATTTTGGCTAATACCCTACATCAAAGTTTATATTTTAAGAATAATCTATAAAATATGATCAAGTAGTTATATTTGGATTTTACTTTGTTTGTGCTGACTATCTGAGCATTATTTATAATAGGATGAGAGCGATTTGGAGGCACTGGAGTATTGGCTTGAGAAGTTTGGCTTCCCGATGGAGAGTCAACCGCAGTACCATTTGTAAACACAGAGGAAATATTTCCATTTTGCATAGGATGATACGAATGTGATCCCATTTGATCAGCTGTTATCATCTGACCAACTGGTGTATCTGAATGATTCATTCTTGATACTGGCGTTTCTTGTCCAGACCACTCTGGACATCCAGGTTTTGCCTATATCACAAGAAATTAAAACTCATTTATTTTTAATATTTTCTACAGTATCTCAAATAGCCTTACTAACAAATTTTGATTGGAACTATATCATAGGACTTAAACCTCTCAACCATTTAAAGACAATTGTTACTCTTAAATATTATGATTTTCTTTAAAATCATCATTTAGGCCTCTATTAATTGTTAATTTATTTATATATTTTGAATTTATAATCGCTAACATATTTTTTTTGCTTGTTTCGTTTTAAAAAGTTTTAGAAATATTTGTATAGTACATTGTATAATTAGATATTGTTTTTTATTCCTCTATCAGTCATACAGAATACAAATTAACTACAGTTTCATAATATAGTTTGCGTGACTGATGTAAAAAGTTTAACTAAGACATATTTAATTTAAGTGTGACTGGAAACAACATGACCGAAGGTTAAAAGTCAATTTGAATATAATGTGTTAATTATTGTTTAGAAATATCAATTATCACAATACATAAAACATATTTTATTTAAATTTAAAATATTTTAAAAGCCTAAGTTGAAAATTGTTTTAGTATTTTCTAAATAAAAAAAAAACTTACATATTTGTTGCTGTAATCAAGCTTTGTTTGTGAATTGCTGGGTTGTGGATACTGAGGTAAGTGATGTGGAACCAAACTCTGATTCATAACTAAGACTTCATTTTCAGGCAATGGTGGTGGTACATTTGGATGCTGCCGACGAATACGAGGTGGACTTGATGAACGTAATGAATTTGAACGAGCGACATTAGATGTTTTTGGTAGGCCTGATGGGTCATTATTATTTCGATTGCTTATAGGGGTAGGAAGTTTAATGTTGTTTTCTCCACGTACAATAGTCTGGATAAATAAAAAATATGTATTAATATGAACTTTATTTAAATAAAATAAGTAATTTCTACCTTCAGATCGAGTATTTCTGTTGGTGTTATTTCAGATGGATCCACAAGAGGTAATGGCCTGTTTGTACTTTTAAGTATTTGATTATTACCTACTATACTTGCCCATTGTAAAGGTAGACCTATAAATTTATTTTCTCGCTTATCAAATCCAGTATGCACTCTGTGCTCAAAATTAGTAGGTGAAGATATTTGTGGTTTTTTCTTTTTCTTTGAGAACATTACTAAAAATAAAATTAATATAATAACACCTTGTCTAAAAGTTGTAAATATATTTAAAATTTTGGTCTTAACTTTTACTTAAGATAATTGAAACCATGACGATAAATTATAATTCACTTAGTACTAATACAGTACACACAACGCTCATACTCAAGTTCTTGTTAAAACGTTAAGAGAAAAAATGGTGATGCCATATACTTTATTTTACCTTAATACAAAATGAGTTCTACTTTAATTTAGTGATGTAGCTACCGTGGGTACATTATAATGTAGGGCATTTTTGTACGGTTTGGTTAGGTTACTATACATAACATTTAATATAGGGCGCAAAAAATAGTCTTGCTCCGAGGCGCTATAGTCTCTAGAGTAGTTATGCTCCAAATATTTTGAATGATCTAATTATTTATTTTGAAAAATTACTTTTAGGTACCACTTTGAGGTATATCACATTCTTCTAATATAAACAAAAAATATCAAGTATAAAATATAACAAATACTTTTTATTCATAAGTTTCAAATTTAAAAAAATAAAATGAAGGTTATTTATTAAAAACTTCATATTTCTATTGATAATAAAATAAAAAAAAGTTAAAATTAATTCCAATTTCTAATATATTATAGTAAGTTAAACGTAAATGCTTATTTTATGTTGTAGTAAACTTTATTCTTTACTAGTAATGACTTGACATCCAGACACAATGTCAATCAGTTCTGTTGTAATTTTCGATTGTCTTTTGCGATTAAATTCTAATGATGCTCTTTGCCTTAACTTATCTACACTTTTAGTAGCTGCATCCATAGCTACAACTCGAGCAGAGTGTTCACAAGTAGCATTTTCTACCATAGCATAAAACAATAAGGAAATTGTAGAAAATTCAATATAACTTCTCAGTTGTTCTTCTTCCAACTCGTCTAAGTTAGCAATGTGTGCTACCGTAAGAAGTATATCTGTACTATAAATGGGTATCCAATCGACTTTTGATGTACCTCTAGTAACACCGCAGTTGTAAAATATCTGACAAGCAGTGTATTCTACATCAGAACTTTCTTGATATATTTTTGAAGCATCTAAAAACGTAGGATTTTGTTTTCCAATATTTAAAACTGTGAATAAAAGGTTCTTTCTGTGTGTTTTTTCTATCATTGATTCTGATTTTTTTCCTATGCACACTACCATAGCATCTTTTTGATCTGGTCGTGACAATTCCTGCTTAACTTTTTTTACGACTCCAGAATGCAAGCTACCACATAGTCCACGATCAGATGTCACGGCAAATATAAGATGATTTTCAGTATAATCTAGCATATCAATATGAGTATATCGATTATAAAACAAAAGCGTGCCATAACCAAAAGGACGTACATCCCTTAACAAACGTTCGGCTCTGTTTAATTTTGCCGCGGACACTACCTTCATGGTTTGAGTTATTTTTTTTATACTGGAAAAGGATTGTATTTGCTTTTGGATAGTTCTCAAAGACATCTGGTAAGGATTGTGTTATCGGATGAAGAACAGAGATCTAGAATGAGGAAATAAAACAAGTTTATAAAGTTGGATGAATTTCACAAAGGTAATGGAAAAAGGGTGTAGCCTGGTAAGGCTATAGGTAAGGATGATTGAGTTTTCCATACTTAAAGTGTACAAACGGTTTTCAGTGGTGGGAACGTATTTTCGTAAAAACAAATTAAGCAAACTTACCTCTCGCTTAATCGCTTGATAGTTTTCGGTGTCCTTAATGACTGTAGATTCAATACAAGTTTAAAAAGCGTACAATTATCAAAACGCGATGAAGCAAATAAAATATCACGTACACGGCACACACTTACTACGAAGGAATGTAAACAAAATGGAATGCAGGTATGTATAATATTTGGATTTCGGGACCGCACATAATCTCAGTTGCGCATGCGCCCAAGCCGTTTTTACATATTGTTAAATAAATGAAACCGTGATCGCTCAAATGTGGTGGGGCGGTGGCGGCGTAACAGCGGGGGGGGGGGGAAGGGACACTCTTAAAATTTAACACAGTTATCACAAAAAAACGTGGCGGCCATCTTCTTATTTATCAATAATTTTTATTTGCAACCAAATTTAGCGTGCTGCCCATAATCCTGGGTTGTGATCCGACACAGGATACGTTCATCAATACATTTTGTTAATTATATGGTGTAATTATTATTATTAGTTGTGAATAGGTGTAATTTATTATGAATATATTGATAAATGAGAAGATGGCGGCCTCCATCCGAAAATCATTGCTTGCATTAAGTGTCCTCTCTGATTTAATCTACCCTGTGTTAACACTATAATATTATGATTTATAATTTGTAATAATATGCCATGTTCGCAGTTCGAATAGTGAAATAAACGAGTATTGTGTACATTATATTTAAATAATATTGGATTCTCTTTCACATATTTCCACAGAATGAATGTAAAATTTCTCCTATAATATGAAATATGCGATCAACTAGGTACACCAACAGTCATTTTGCAATTATTACAAATTTGGACGTATCTAGTTCTTTTTGACATACATTTCGGTACATATAGTACTGAAATTACATAGAAAAATCTGATCAAGTGCCTATAGAACATAAGTTCTATAGACACTTGATCAGATTTTTTTTTTTGAAAGGGGATAAACTTTTTCCAAATGAGAAGTGAGGTTTTGAGACTAAAGCTTCTCCTCAAAAAATTTGAAATGCCCATACATTTTTTTTTAAAGTACGTCTTGTTTCTATGATTGACAAGGCTAAGTTCAAGCCCTACAAATTTAAAATGTTAATTACGCCTATGTCTTAAGAAACAAAATATATACTTGGAAACTTATAATGTAAGACACGAGAAAACAAATTTATATTTATATATTTTAAAATAATAATCGTCTTATATTAATCTTGATAAAATAGACTTCTGACATTTTATTTAAAAGTGATACAAATAAATTTGTATAAAAACCATTCAAAGTATATTGATTTAAATATATGACCATCTGTCATTGTGAAGAAGTTAACATATTGTAATACTAAAAAAGAAGCCATCTAGCCACAGTAAATTTTACATATTTCCTTTTTATGACTTATAAAACCGTTTGAAATCCAAAGTGGTAAGAGAACAGAATGAAATGTCTAAAGCTACAATAGTAATTTAATTTACAATAGTACTGTACTGAGAAGTCCTTTAGACTAAAAACAAGTTGAAAAAACCTAACCATAACTTGATAAATTATTGCAAAAACAAAATACAAAATAGATATCTGCTCAACTAAGAGTTAAAGCTAAAGAATACACTCTTAGCACTTTTGTTAAATAAAAAGTGCTAAATGGGGGAAGGTTTTAATTGAATAAAGAACACTAAAAATTACTTATTTATAAATTTCTGTTGATATTTTCTTCAAATGACATATTAGCAATTAGTATTTTATTATAAATCACTCAGCTATCCAAATAATGCATAATTAATTTTTACATAAATTAATCGTTATAACTCATTTCATTGAATGTCTCTTCTAAAACATTGATTTTAGTATCATGATCTATAATATTATATTTTTTTTGGATATCACTGGAAATGTATGCCCAATAGAATCGTCGAATTGGATCAAATTTTGTTGCCAATTCAAAACATAACTACATATGAGAGAAAAAACCACATGTTACGTATCATAAAAACAATATAAGTTACTGAAACATTGTACTTACTTTTAAAACAAATTTTACTTTTTCAACATTATCCGGGTCTGTTGATTCATCAGCATCGAGCCAATCAATCATACATGATAATAAATATGGTGATCTGTTACCACTTTTATATAGTTGATTACAGAATGCCCGTACTTTTTCTTCTAATATTCCATTTTCTGAATACAACAATAGTCTAAAAAAAAGGAATACAGCTTTATTTTTGTCTTTTAAAAATTAAATTCAAATTAACTTTTTAAACTTACCCTCTTAAGTAATTCCAAGCACTTTCGTTTTTTGATAGAATCTTAATTTTATTAAATGTATAGATCAATTCTTTCTCAATAGTTTCAGAAGATGGATCACTATTGTAAATTACGAAGTACCTCTGATTCCATGCTGAGTTATTTCGCATATCTTTTGATAATAAATCCTCAACAAAGTCCAATTCTTTTTCCATTAAATTACTTTGGAATTTAATTAAATAAATAAAATATTATTAGAATATATGAGTGATCAATTTTATATGTGTGAAGTGTACAAGCAACAAATGTTATTTTTCCTAATGTTTAAAAAATATAAATCCAGAAACCAATTGCATATTTATTAAATAGTAGCTTAATAACATATATAATTAAATATCTTTGTAAAACACACAAATTGAACAACCATTTAAGATGAGTCTTTTTTTTTTTTAAACAAAATGTTTTCCTACAAGTAAGGCAAGCTAAGTCAGGACCTAGTTAGCAATAAACGCGCGTAGTGAAATCTCTATTTCGGTGGTTGGCCTAGGTTCTGATCTGGCCACTAAATTATACCCTACACTAGTTTTCTCTTAAAATAAATGCTATTTTGTAGTTTTTCTTTTTAAAAACATTTTTGTTTATATTACATTACAATATAAAATAATATTTAATTTTTTATCATTTCAAGGTATTTTCTAAACGTTATAAGCTTTTAGAACTTCAATGGTAACATATATTATACTTAACTGATCCCCCAGTTTTAAATAACTATTTTTGGCTATTTGTGTTAAAAATTTAGAATTGTAGGTGAAGTGCGGTTAAGTAATGCGGCAAGATAAAAAATAACAACACACTCCTCTCTAGCTTCCGTCTTAAATCACTTTAGTCACTTTAAAACGTTTATTTTACGTTATATTACTATACCTATAGTACTAACCTATAAGTGGTAAGAACCCATTGTCTGTATTGCCACGCATGGTAATTTTTGGCATCCATTACTAAAATCTCAGCAGTGAATTCAAGTTCATTAGATGGCTCGTTCAATAACTCAACTATATTCTTACGATATTGCCTAAAAAATCAATAAACAAGTTAAAATATTAAGTTCATAAAAATAAAATTTTGTTGAGATAAACAGAAAATTTTGATTAAACAATGATTAATTTAATGATGTTTTAAATTACTTAGGCCTTAAGGCTTAAATGCACGAACATTTAATTATTATAATATGCATATTATGGGAAAATATAGTATGCAGTGCTGCTTAATGTACCATAGGTTTCACTTACCATACTTGATAATTTTTAGTATATTCACGAATTACATTTGAGATGTAGTCTAATTCTGTATGCAGGTCTATATCTAAATTTAACACAATTTCAAGTCTAAAAACAAAATAAATTATTAGTATATATTCACTTTACCGGAAAACCCTTTATTTGCCATATTATAGTGTTTTTAACTGATTATGAATTTGAATAATTAGGCAGACTCCTCAAGTTTCAAAGTTATAGCTACATGAAATTTGAATATTTCCACATGTACAATAATAGACAGCGATTTGAGCCACAGTCTAATATTATACACACAGAAATATGTAAATTTCAAGTAAATATAACTTTAAAACTAGAGAAGTCTGCCGATTTTTGCCTTTAGATTCATAGTCAGAGTAAAAAAAATACTGTAATTTGGCAAAAAAAGGATGTTCCAAATTATTTTCCAAATTGTTCCATGAACAGTGAAAAAACATTGTAATTTTTTTACCGGTAAATCCAAACAGTATAGTTAGCTGGATTCAAACTAATGGCATCTGTGACTAATTCAAGAGACCTGAGCGATTTTTCTCCTGATTGGAGAATAGCTCTAAAATAATTGTAAACATCTGTAACTGTAACCAACAACTATTACTAGTAAAGTCAACCTAATAGCTGGAAATTAGTTTTATGCCTTAAATATATTCCGCATTTATTATTTGATACCATACAAATTTATATAATGTAATCTTTTAATACTAACATTTTTCAGAATATGCTATTTTAACTACATGTCCTGTACCATCATCCTGTGGCACTGGTTGCACATCCTTCCATTCAGGTCGATTTTTATACAACACATAATTGGCAGATTCCTTCTCATCAGACGAATCGGAACTATCATATTTTAGTTCCTCCATTTGATTTGAATCTTCCATACCTGTAATTTTGCCACTGAAAAAAACTCTTAAAATATACACCGTAGTTCGCTTAAGAGTAAAAATTAATTTAGTTATTGTTTGTTTGAAAAAATTACTGTATATTTTGATAAGTAACGCCATGACTTTTGACCATATTTATTATCACCGTGTTTTATCAAAAACAATATTGAATAGTGATAATAGTAATGAGGTTCCGTTCTGTCCTCGTGAGCTGTTGTGATACATATTGGCTATTATACATGTTTTTCTCATTATTTTAATTTTTTAAATTTTAACATCTAGTTGAATTTGCACAACTGTGACTTTAGTATTAAGCTTTGTTAGATTTGTTCAAGTGGCTGCCGCCATGTCTTAATTATAGTTTAGTAATTAGTATTAAGTATTATTGTTACTTCTTCATCAAGAGTATAAAATGAATTCATTTCCACCTAGGACTGCCACCTTATTATATGAACTAGATAGTATGTATTTAAATTCATGTGGATAAATAACTGAAACCCCTAAGCAAAAGTTTAAATAGACTGTTTAAACTTAACTGACATGGTAACTTATATTCAACAGAGAAATTAATGGTGCTTTTACGTGACGGTAGAACATTAATTGGATACCTGAGGAGTGTTGATCAATACGCTAATTTATTGCTACAACAAACCATTGAACGCATTCATGTGGGTAAAAAATTTGGCGATATACCCAGAGGTGTATTTTTAGTTAGAGGAGAAAACGTGGTTCTTCTTGGAGAAATTGTAAGATTAATATTTAAAACCTATATTAACATATAATTTTTTATCTGTGGTAAAATTATATAGGTCAATTTAACTCTTTGATAACTTTGGACTATTGTTCTGTTGTATTAGAAAACATAGCAAATTATATCCTGCCATGCATTTTAATATATTTAATCAAAAATCCTAAAATTGACAAAAATAGAGACCTAATAAACTTAGTAATTTTTACCACATATATTTAATGTTATAATTATAATTACATTTTGGTATTGTATTTATACAGGATTCTTTAAAAGAGGCTGATCAAATGTTTGAAAAGGTGTCTATAGAAGAGATTTTAGCATTGCAGCAACAAGAACAGGATGCTAAAGCAGAAAAAGCTAAATCGATTGAACGATCCTTGAAAAGACGAGGTATGCCATTGCCACCAGATCTAGTTCAAGATGATTATTTTTAAATATAAATCAATATATTAATTTTCAACATGTATAAGTATACTTGTTATAATTATTTGATGTCATGACTTTTACAAGTTAATGCAATCAAATTACTTTACATTATGTACACAAAAATTGATATTTTAAATTTAAAAAAAAAATGATGTAGCCTATTATTCTTAATTTTGATAAATTACTCTATTTATGATTTATTTGTTTTATTTATTCAAGCAAAAAATAAAAGGGTTTTAGTTTTAACCTGGTGGACATTAAATGAGCATTAAAAAAAAAACAATCTACCTGATTAGGAGCCGATAAAAATACTTGGTTATTAACATAAGCTTATAAGGAGGTAAACAATTCCATAACAATCACAGACAAAAATGATAAAAACTCAAAGTTTAGAATTGAATCATAGATTTTATGAACTTGGTAAATTTAATTAAACAATGTTTAGATAAATTCTTTATTTCTATTTTAGTTAATTACTTTCTACTATCACCAAACTTATTATTTCTTTTGGTGAATGAGATAACTCCAGATAAACACAGACATTTTTCTTATTGATGGGGGCATTAGATATTTGCACTCATCTATTATTTGATTAACTATAAATTTGTTTTAACAAAAAAAAACTATCTGTATAACCCGTAGTGAGCCACTTTAAGTATTATCCATCTGTTAGCATGATAAAATAAGACCAAATGGAGTTTTTTAATATTAGACCCTCATTTTTTGCCCTGAAAATAATTGGAATAATATAGTGTTTTTACCTAATGAAATTCTTTAAAATACACTCTTATCACACGTATGTTGGTTGTCACCACGTTTGTTATATACATTCTTATGTGTGTGGCTATAATTATAATTTATCAATTGGACAGTAACTCAACAGTTTAAATATTATTACATTAAAAAATTAAAACAAATTAGTACTTAAATTTTCAAAATTTTATTTTAAAGATAATATAACACATTCGTGAACAAAAATGGCAAAGAAGTTATACTAAAACTGAACTATACATATATAAATCTAAATAGATAGATTAAAGTTTAAGCTATAGGAATAACAATGTAAAATTAATTAATAAATATTTGATCGAAATTGGTTGACTTATAATTGGTAATTTGTAAATTGTAGAACACTATATTAAAGTCCATTTTGTAAAATATGGTAGGCAGCACCGAGAGCCCAGCTTATCTCATGGCCATCAATGGTGTTGAGTAGCTAAAAAAACAATTTAAAAATAATAAATATAGTGTTTTTTTAAGATATTTGAAAAACATTTTTTTTAATATGCCAATTACTCAACGAATTGTAATAGAAAAATTAAGTATCTATATTCAACTATATAAACTTTTAAAATGACCCATTTTGGAAGAATAGTATTTTTTTACTGGTTTTCATTCAAAAGTAACTAAGAAGTTAATTTTACGTAAATATTACAAAAATTGTAATATTTATGTAAGTTACAAAGTTATTAAATTTAACATTTATATTTTAGTTAAAGTAATGATCAGCAAAATCTCGTTTTTCTATTATTTTTGGAAGACAAAAGAATAATAATTTTGAGAACGAAAAAAAAATGTAAAATTTGCCACAATTTTGAACTTAATCATTTTAATAAAAAGTCATTACTGCTTTTTTGTTAAGCAGATTAACATGTTGTTTGTTGGGTGTCTTTGAATACAACTTTTAAGTAATTTATTTAATGTCACAATAAACAACTTACAGTAATTGGTTCGTCTCCAGGTAATCCAAAGCCTTGTTCCAAAAGCACAGAAATGTAAATCAAGTCCAGACATTTGAATGGACGTAATTCATTATAGTCTGATTTGCTACATTCTACAGTAAGGATAAAATGGATTAATTTAATAACTTACAATTTTACCATAATTAACTATTACCCTTTATAGCAGCTGCATAAAACTTATTGACTGTAACGGTACCTCCTTCTTCACCTGAATAAAGTATAGCAATTATTAGTACAAAATTAAAACATTTAAGAAACTCACTATTCAATCATATTATATAAAATAAATAATCTTACCAACAAGATCAGCATCTTGGGCCCTATCATAGAAATATGAAAATGCTATTATGGGTTGAGTAAGTAAGTCTTTAGGTTTATCTGTATCAATAGCTTCTACAACGCGTTCAATGATGTTTTTACATTTATTATAGTCAATAGCCGTTCCATTTTTTGACGAAGCACCACTGTATCATAAAAAATTAAATTGCGGATCAATTTCAATTTTTTGGTTAGATTCAATATGTACAATTATTGAACCATGATTACACAAATTGCATTCTATATCATTTAAAAGCTTACGTGACATGGTAAGTTTTTCCAGCAAATTTATAAGGGGTACCTTTAGCAGCTTCACTGACACATGGACTAGTGACGTTTATTTCATCGCCATAGCTAGTAAATACACTTTTACGAGCTGCCATTAGGCCTAAACCTAAATAGCTAAATTTTTATTTTTTGATTAGTCAATGTTTTAATATTAAGACCTGTAGTAACTTTATGCATACCTATGACTGTATAAGTTAACCTTTTGGTTCATTATTGAATATTCGGTAATAAATTCTGGTAGTTTTTGTTTGATTTGAGTGCTATCTGATGGAATAAATGTAATTTGTATAGATCCTCCTCCTAAATCAAGAGCGGCCACTGTATGTGTCAATTTACCATTCAAACGGTCTGTAAGAAAAATGAAATAATAATTTAAAGCATTCTTCAAACTCAACCTAACAAATAATAAATAATAATACATGTTTATATGTTACACAAATAAATTATTTACCAAGAAGAAAATTGACAGTGAACCATGAGAAAAGCCCTTCATCAATTCCATCCATGATGGCCACGGAATTTTTATTTGTGTAAAATGGACTTCTATCAAACAAATGTCTTATCTGTAATAATGTAATGGTTATAATTTATTCTATTCTGTTGAGAATAAATTTGAATTACCTCATTCAGAAGTCCATCAGCTTTTTCAACTGGTAACAATCTTAAACCAGCTGTTGCTCTCATTGCAAGTGGGGTGTCTTTCCAATACTGTTTTGGTACAAAGTTTAAGGCTTTAGCTAACAACTGATCGACTGATTCTGAAGCCTAAACACAATGGAGATAATAATAAAAATGTAAGATACAATTTCAAGAATATAATTTATTACCTTTTTAGGGTCATCTGCAAAACTAGACACACCAGGCTTCACTTGTACAAATAACTCATCTTCCAATGTTAAGCCACCACCTAACATAATTATATTAAATAACACACAATGTCAATTATTCCATTCAGTCGTATTTAATACATTGATTTAAAACCAATTATACATTACTTGGAGTGCTTTTAAAAGATAATGCTAAAACCCTAGATCCAGTACTGCCTGCGTCAATTATAACTGCATATTTTGGTTTCAATAACGGTACTTTTAAGGGCGATTCTTCAACTCTATACGTATAGTAAATAGTGTAATAGGCTGCAAATGATGAATCGTGCAACATGTTTAAATTAAAATGTAATATATACAATTTTTTAATTATATATATATATATATATATACAAACAAATATTACTTACAATATAACAGTATAAGAACCACAGCAAAAATACTATAAACAACAAATTTGTTTTGATTAACATTTGGTTTCTGCTTATCGTTAGTATAACCATCATCTTCTTTCACATCCTAGAAAATAAACAAGACAAAAAGTTAAAAAATATTGTCAAAACAAATACTATTGGTATGTAGATTAATACTATCCTAATGTATTTTTGAGCAAATGCTGCAGATTTAAAGATTTTTCGCCTACTTAGGAAAATAATATTTGTCTCTATAAATAACTTTTCATTCATAAAAAACAATTGTAAAAAAATATTCAAACAAAATGCCTTCTCCCTTAAATAAACTCCAAATTAGCTTAGTACTTTTTAAATTTTATACAAAAAGCCATATTATTTGGCAGTTACATATCCATTTCTATACCTCTATTCATTTCAATACATCTTTTTTAAACTTTAAAATTATTTTCTTAAGTTGACATCTTCACATGTTATCTTAAAAATATAAAAATCAAAAGCCTGTCAAATTCATAGCCACTATAAATTAAATTTATAAGCTAACACTAGTAAAAATCTAACTTAGCATCTAAATTCTTCTATCTTGAATCTTCAGTAGGTATAACAAAAAAAACGGCCTCAAGATTACTTTATAATTGTTTTTCAAACTTTGTTTTACTTTTTCAGTGAAACTACTGTTATGGGCGCTCTTCAATTGTACTTATGTTTTTTTGATACCAGTTGATTGGCTAAATCTGTTAGATATCTAAATCTATTCGTATAATATAGTTCTACACTTTTAGCTGTAATTGCCTATTGGCCCCATGAAATTGCACCGAGTTCGCCAACATTAAGATATTGCCTAAATATGACACCTAAAAAAGGATGAACGTGCATTTTCATAAAAAATAGCTGTATCAAATAAGGAACATTCAGCAATCTCCTTCTTATTCAGAATCCGGTTAAAAATAGACCGTTTCCAATACCCTCGAAATGATAATTTATTTTGGAAAATAATTATTATAAACAAGCTAGTAATTAAATATTTTAGTATAAGTATAAAATAATGGGAAGAGCAATAAAACCAACGACTAAAGAGTATATTACAATCTTGTAAGATAAAAAGTAAAAAAAATAATTATGTTTGTTACATAATAAAACGTGTTGCGTAATTAAGTAACCGTGAGTAACATTTTTTCTCAGTTATCTACCTATGTTTATTTTTCATAGCTGTTGAGTGTTTAGAATTTACCGAGAGAGAAGTTAAAGTTGAGAAAATATTTGTAACTATTGCAAATCCAAATGTCGGCCAAAAACATTTTTTTATTGATACTCTACGTTTCTGAATCATAATAACATTTTAAAGAAATGGAGTGTTCATAATCTACATTTGGATTATTAATTCACACAGATCTATAGTCAACATAATGTTAATCTTTATAGCCCTTAAATAGTTATAAATATTTTTGACGTATATGAATGATAATAGTCGGTATATTAAGCATACCAATCAGCGGCGTAAATAGGATATAATTTCGAGGGGGGGGGGTTATAAAATAAGAATAGATTTAATTAATATTATAAATTAACTTTGATTAAATGAATTCGCACATATGCCGTACTACAAATTTCGGGAGGGAGGGAGAGGGGTTAAACCCCCAAAACTCTACCCTAATACGTCACTGATACCAATAATAAAATATTAAAGAAAAAATCACAAATTGCTGCAATTCTACCGACAAGACAATTGTAAAAACGTATTTTAATGAGAATACTAAAAATCAGGTTCGAAAATATTGAACATCTTATACCAATTTGATTTTATAGTCCATAAAAAAAATTAATAGAATCTAAGTTGACAAGTTAAAAAAATACTTTTTATACGTAAATACCTACTCAATAAGATGCCTTTTAATTAAGATTTTAGACGGAATAGAAACAAAATTATTATACTTAGGTACATGCCGCGCGGCGCAAAAACAACAAACATTGAATTCCTCCAACCATTATTATAATTGATTATCGTTTCGAATAATGATGTAATCTAGTATTTTTGTTCACTATGATCTCACAAATCAATACAGATCATTATAAGTTTATAGTATGATAAATGAAATAATACAAAATGACGTTACGAGTGTATTAAAATATACAATTCGTAAATTGTGTAAATAAAATGGAAATAAGCATTAAAAGATTAAATATCATACGGTCATTTTTTTCCTGTCCAAACTACGTAGAATAGGGCTTATAGTAAGTTTCATTAGGATATTACGATTTAACGATTCAATTCAAGACTTCTATAAGAGTCTTATAATTACTTACAAAAACCAAACAGCTATTCATTGCAATTTGCACAAAATAATTTTTAGTCACAATATAATATATATTAAAATAATATGTGTTATAATAAGTACACAGTGTTAATTGAGTAATGCGTAATTATGTATAGTATATCATACACAAACGTAGTAAAACTATTGACTCTGTTAAATATAATTAAAAACGAAATGATAAACATAAAAAGTTGTAAACTACGAAACTTTGAAATTGCTTCACAAACGTTCCACGTAATACAATTTTCAAAACCAATAGGTAACTCCTAAATTTCATTTTAAGCTAAACAATTACAATTGCATTAACACCTGCTATTGCCAGCTGATCGTAAGTCGTAACAACAAATTTATAAAAAAAAATGTGTAATCGGTACCTAACACACATTGTTTAGCTTCGATATTTTCATATGGTAACCTGATTGATCAAATAATAGATCACCCGCTACCAAGCAATCAAAACCTCGAGGGGACTGAATGGTACTATAGTCTCTCCACCTATACCACAAATATATTTATAATTATTATTACACAAACAATTATAATTCACAAATATTAAATTGTAATAATGATGATAATATTGCATGGTTTCTACCGACCCTTCCTTATGCCTGCATATAATATGAGTTATGACTAACCCAAAAGCAGTATGCTGAGAACTCTAACAAACTTACCATCAGATTTGCCAACAGGACAATGACCTTCTTGACTGCATTGACACGTCCCGAATGACTGGGGTTTTGATATTATACTTATTATTATTCAGACGAGTTAGCAAAATATTTATTAACAGCATTTAAATGGAAAATTAAAATAATTGTTGATTTTAAAAATGTAGTCAGACAATCGACTGCATAGTTAGATAGCGTCATAATTGACGCTGGTTTACTGTAGAGGCATTCATTGTGCAGTGGCGGATTAAATAGAGAAGTAATGGAAATTAGTGATTTTTATCAGATTTTTTTTTGTTCTATAATCTGTTATAAATCTTACAGTGCCCTAATTACAAAGTGCTGTTGGAAAGAAATATTATACAATCCCGTTATGATATTTTTTTCTTAATATGATATGCAAGTATGTAGATAAAAGGAAAATAAATAATTAATGTAAATAATGCAAAAAAACAAAATACCTAGCCTGTGAATTCTAGACCGGTGTCAGATAAATTTTATACATCAAAAATAAGTGCAATAATAATAAAAAAAATAACACAAAACATACTAAATTAATATCCTACATTGTAGAATTTAAAAGAATTGAAACTACAGAAATGATTTCTGTTATGTAGGAAAACCTTTTTATTGGATTTATGCATAATGTTCATAGTTAATATTATGCGTGTAACAAAGTAAAAACACCCACAAAATATTTTAGCAAAAAATTAATAAGTTTCTAGAAATAATATAGTATTTAACCATACCGGTAAGTATTTTATACTTTATTCCGTACTCATGTGTAAACAGTACAGTATAATTATACTTCAATGCCAAATGCACTACCTATAATTTAATAAGGATGACATTAGTTTTTATAATTAATAAACGATAATAAGACTACAATTTGGTAAGAAACAACAATAATAATCATTTTTAACATTTAAAGTGAATATTACAAGTATTTTATTATTTTTTAATGTTTATTAAGATAATACTAGCATAATACTTTAACTATTTTAACAGAATATCATTCTTTTTGGAATTTAGAAAAATAACTATAACCAATTTTTTACCAATGTACCTACTACTGAATAACTTGTAAAATAGCTAATGGGTTAAAACTTAAATTAAATATTAAAAAAATCAATTTTTTTATTAGTGAAAAATATAGTTGGATAGTACATGATAGATAGTTACTATGCAACTAGAGTAATATGTTATTTTAATGACGTTACATTTTTTGTAACATGTGATGAAATGTCACTACATTTAGGGCTAAATAAAAAAAAAAGCTGATTTTTACTACTTTGTCTAAATAATTTTAAATAAAAAACAGTTACAAACATCTAAAAAATACTTATTTTAAATTTAAGAAGTAAAAAAAATATATTTTCTCTTAGTTAATTTTTAAAAACATTAGCCTTAAATTTTTTATTATTGAGGAGGAGAATAGTGGCTGAGTGGGTAAAACAGTGTGCTAGGACACACGGTTACGGGTGCTCTGTTTGCTGGGCGAGCAATCATCCGGTGAAAAGAAGCCGCTAACCCCCTCACCAGCGACGAACTAATGACACGTCCCAAAAAACGAATCTGTCTAGAAACCATCATCTCAAGATGGCAGCGTCGGGCCTTTAAAGCCCGTTAAGCTTGATGATGATGATGATTTTATTATAAATCAATTGACCTTTTAGCCTAATTTCAGTTGTTATAAACAAGTTGCAATTATGTGATTCCATTATTTTTTTGCAAAAAAGTAAAGAAATTTTATTACAAATATATTTCTTTACTACTTAGTATTTATAAAAGTAACATAACAAGTAAAATAATTTTATTATATTACAAAAGTAACATGCTTAACTCGGGTGGAATACATTTTATAAGTTATATATCTTACACGACTATAGTAGTGTAAGAATAAAACATTATTCCATAGTACGTAAGTGCAATAATTGAGCTTATAATTAATTTTAGTACGTAAATGTAATTATGTTTGCTGTTCTTGTGAAAAATTAATATTTTCAGCGAAAAAATCCTTCATATTAACCTTGAATAAGAAACTAGTCTGTAAACCGAAGTATATTATAGTTATATAATAACTAATAAGTATAATATATATTTTATTTTATAAAATTAATAAAATCAATTTCAACAAATAATATTTTAAATAATTAATGTACGTTTAAAAAAGTTTGATTGTTACGAAAACTAAAAATAATAAACAAACCTCTTTTGCTCTTTTCGTCGGTCTTTCCATTTTGGTAACAATAGTCAATAGGTATTAAATAATAAATTTATCAACAATATTCCATAAAAATAAAACTGCACTGAAAATTTAATCTCTAGTACTCGATTCTAATTTAATGAAGTAAAGATCGCGTATTTTTCTATATAAAAAAAAAAATAACTGTGTTTCACGTCATACACGACTTCTGAACTCCTGGAGTCTGAACCTTCAACCTACCGTCTGAGTTCTGACGGGTATTGTTTAAGCTAGTACACGGCCTTAAGATTATAATTTATAATCTTGTTATGTAACACCGCTGATAAACCTTATCTATCCCCCACCATTTAAAGGTTAAGCAATCATACTTGCTATACCGTGGTAAAACTGTTATACAATTATAATAAACATTGATACTACAATCATTTGTTAATTATTACTAATTACAACAACAACAACGTAGTCATTTCAATTCTATTATATCGAGGTTTGTTCTCAGACTTAGATCGATTAAAAAATGTCAATTGTCAGTTAATAGTGAACAGCAGTTTAAGTAATTTATAGTAAACATTTTCTGATAAAAATTTTAAGAATAACCTAAAACTATTAATTATGGTAAGTTAAAAAAAAATCATAGCAAATATTTCTTTATGAACACAGGTTAATAATTGTTGATGTATTATTTTAGTATTTAACAAAAAAGCAGTTGTTATAATATTTTAGAATTATAAACATTAATATAGATTTTTTAGGAATACTTTTTTTTGTGAAATTAAATGTTATAATATGTTTATGCTGAACAAAGAGAATATACATATTACATAATTTTGTAAAGAAATTGGTAGGTATTTACCCACAATACTTACTTACTTCTTCTCTATCTTTCAATATTAATAAATATACATATTGAAGTTAAAAATATCTTCTTTAATTATTCAAATAAATTATTGATTTAAAGAAATTCATTAAAAATTATATTAGAGATCACAATAAATTATCCATATAATTTAACTAATTGGCTTATTAATTTTATTTACACATATTGTTACTGTAGATAATGTATAATGATCTGATTAGATATGTAACTAATAAGTCTTTATTATTTTTAATATGGTCAGCCTTTGTATAGCTAAGTGAATGATGAACAGTATATGAATGGATGCCAAAGTGAACTTTGTTTTGAGTATATTTTATTAAAAACTTATAAATTATAAGGTAAAATAAGATTAGTGTCAAAGCTTTCCCTTATTTAGAATAGTAAAAAATGAAACTGCTTTTAAAAATAGTTTTGTAGCCAAGTGTATTTTATTAAAAAAAAAGAAGAAGTAAGGCTATATCAATTTTAGTTATTATTATAAACATTTTTAAACATAATCAATAGATAAAACCTTTTTTAAATATTTTACCATTATTAATGAAATTAAATATATATTGTATAATTTTTCAGTTTACCAAACTATTTTTTATTGTTTTTACAACCTTCATTAATGTTATAATTTTTATTTTGTTTAGGGAACCAAAGTATGTGACATTGGTGATGATGTGAAGGAAACATTAAGAAAATTTCGTTTTAGAAAAGCAACTACAAACGCTGCTTTAATAAGTATTGAAACTGTTTATTTTTAACTTACTTTTTTTTTGTAATGTACCTTTTTTGTTATATTAGTGAAAGTAGACAGAGAAAAACAGCAAGTATGTGTTGATGAAATGTTGGATAATGTGACACTGGAAGAGCTGAGAGAGATTTTACCTGGTCATCAGCCACGTTATGTTATATATTGTTGCAAAATGGAACATGGAGATGGTCGAGTTTCATTCCCTATGTGCTTTATTTATTTCACTCCGAGAGGTAACCAAAAAATATAAATTATTTTCCTATATTATAAATTATAATGGTTTAATTTACATTTTAGATAGCCATATGGAGTTGCAGATAATGTATGCTGGTACTAAGATGGCATTACAACGTGAAGCCAATTTGACAAGAGTTTATGAAGTAAGAGAGTTAGATGAAATGACAGATGAATGGCTCCAAGACTGTGTAATGGGAAAGTAATTTTTTATTTTTAAACAATAATACTGTGATGACAAACTATACAACGATCGTACAATTCAAAATTATGATTACTTTTTTATACATTATTCATTAATACTTTGACTATTCTAAGTGTATGTTTTAACCATTTTAAATTTCCAAAATAATGTTAATTTTTCTATTTCATGTCAAATTTACCAAATAGTTTTTTAGGTATATTATTGAAATTGTATTATTTACATTCCTTATTCAAATATGAACTAAAGTAACTTTTACAAAATTGTGCACATCAATGTGAATATTATTACTTCATGTACTAGCTCCGAGTTTTACATTTTTTTTTTTTATATTTTTTGTTAATTATTATTTTATGTATGACTGTATGAAAATATCCATACTTAATGTTATAAAATTCTGCAAAAAGAATTTTATTTTTATGTTTAATAAGTTCAGACATTTATTTGTTAAGTGATTTTTTTTATATTATATTTATATATATATACACAATATGTATATTCATGCATTAGAAGTATATTTTATTGGAATTTATAATAGTTTCTACTCATTTTACAGTTGCCACTAAATATTTTAATTTTATTCTTGTGACTTATTGGACCCAGCAAACTATTTAAAAACTATCAATTATATATTTTCAATAAATTATATTATTTCTGTTGATAATTTTAAAATGATATCTAAAAAGTTTTTTAAAGATACTTTTTAATGAAAGTATTTTTAGCTACTAAAAGCCAAATTTGTAATTCTTAACTAATAATGGTAACACAAAACTTAAAAAAAAAACAAGAAGTTACAAACTATTCTCAAATTTTTTGTTTTCAATATTTACAGGCACATAATATTTTTTATAAAATTACTGAGTTATTTTTAAAATAAAATATTATTATATTTTCTTAATCCTTTGATATCAAATTATTATAATGCTAATATTAAATATGTTTTTCCTTATATATTATACCTTTATACCTTATATTATACCTAGATTAAAATAGGGTTTTCTAGCATTCTCTAGAATTAAAAAAAGTCAACATTTTGTCCATGTCTTTTATATATTTATTCTAGTGTATAACATTTTTTAATGAATATAAATATATTAATGATTTTTAAATATATAAATGATAGACAAATTATTTTGTTTATTTTATATTACAAATTAATAAACTAAACAATAACATATATCTTTATAAAAACGTTTAAGCTTATATTTAAATGCTTAACAAATCATTAAATAGTTGTTTCTTAAACATCAAATTTTAGTGGCTCGTGATTAGTCCACTATTTTAATACATAATTAAATTAATTATTGCGACCCACAGATTGGTATGTCGTAGTCTAATAATAAGTGAATTTTCACATTGAAAATTGTTTGGGAAGTTTGTTTTATTTGCTCACAGACAGAATACATTTTGATGTTGAGTAATGGGGACATCAATAAATAAAAATATCTTGTATTACTTCAAATGTTTTTAAAAACAGAAGAATTATATATATATATATATATATATATATATTTTTTTTTTTTTGGTAGTAAATGATGTCAAATTAAGCTTGAATTTAGAGCGTGTAAATTGCAGTTTTAGATGACCAGTGGATGAACTCTCCCTTGGCGTAGAAGAAAAATAGAATAAAATTAACTATAAATTGAAAATGAAATTCTTTATATTGAATTTTATTTTTATAAATAATAAATATAAAATCATAGCTAATACTTACGTCTTACATTAAATAGGTATTAATTGATTTTTATCATACAAAATAATAAATATTATAAACATTATTACACTTGTCGAATAAATTATAGTAATAATAATAATTAAATAAACAAAGCAGTAAAATGTACAAACGATTTAAATGTGAATATAAGTCAATGGTGACTCTCTTTCAGCAATAGAGGTTCAACATTTTTAATATAGGTAGATAGGTTTTTTTTTGATTTCACATACAGGTATAAAATATAAATTATGCGCATAGGGCTAACCAAGCTTAACCAGCAAAAAATGTAATTTCGTTTTATTACATTAAACATTTTAGAATAGTATATTGTTTCAAAACTAAACATAAAAAAACGTATCCAATAAATGGCTGAACTCTATTTTTTTTTGGAATTGTCATTAAACAAATTATTGGATTATTAAAAATGAATTGGATTTTCCTTCAAACAATATATTCGTGGGTAAAGCTTTTCTAACACTGTGCGCCTCAAATTATAAGAATACTTATACTACATATGTATTAGTAAAAAAATAATAGTTACGAGCTAAACAAAAATGTGGAAATAAAACTGAACACATTATTAGGTATATAAATTAAATTACAAGTCTTAAATATAATATATACTGTATATATTTATATGAAATTTAGAAGTAGTACTTCTTTTTCAACATGTACTGAGCTTCGTATTTTTTCGGACATCGCCCCGTTCTGTGCGAGTACACTCCGTACTCGCACATTGGCAGCAAACATTGGCCTGAGGTTATACAGCTGTTGAAAACAAATATATATGAGTTTGTGTGAAAAAATCATTGACTCAAACATAAGTAGATGGAAAACAATTGAATTGACTCACTATCTGTCTAGATGGTTGAAGTATATGTTGCCTTTCTTATGCCGAATACATTCGCGTTGCTTGTCGAAACAATCGCATGAACACGATCCGTTGGCTAGATACCGCACCGTGTACTCTGTAGGACATTTGCAGCTGCAAAACAAATACCAAAAATCCTTTAAATTATTTTTTACTAACATAAAATGATCTATACAGTATAACATTTAGAGCCGGCCTAATAGCATTAATAGTTGGACCTGGCTGAACCCAACGATCGACTTGATATTTAAAACAAGTACAGTGGGATATTTTCCTAAAATAAGCCCGACCATGTTATGTATGACTAAATGTTTGCTATTATAACATAAATCAATATTACACGTCAGTCAATTGATAGCTGACGATAATATTTGATCGCCATACAATTCTCAGCGTATGACAATTATTGATAGCAAGTTAAATTGATGGCGATTTGTTTTAAATGTGAAAGGGACAGTAGAACACTCGTACGTATGTATCACCGGGGAAAGTGCACACATTTTGTGTTATGTTCCCTATGTAATTGACGAACAAATTGTATAAAACAAAAGTCCATCACAATCGTGTTGCTGAAAAACAGCGAAGACATCAACTGTTGATACAGGCAGACACGTACAATTGTCACCAGTTAGTAGCTGTTGATATACCGCGTGGGTACTACCTAATAACCCTGTTGGAGGATGACACGAGTCATGACAGCTGTTTTTAAACAAAGCTTAAACATCCATCCGTTTTGATATTTATTCAAGCTCTTCAAAAAGAAGAAGTCGGGTAACCGGTTGAACGTGAAACATTATAATATCTGAGCAACAACCTCTCTTTAAAAAAGTTTACACAGACAGACGGTAAGCAAACTACAAAACATTTGTTTCGACCACGATAAAGGCCGACCGAAGAATATCTTCGAAGTTCGAGGTATTCCGTATTGTTCATCATGTTCTAACCATGTTTATTGTTTATACTGCACTTTTGATAGCAATAATTTTTCTGTTTTTTTTTTGTTTTATATAAGAGGACCAATCCAGTTTAATAATTTGTTGTAGGAAAACCGGGCCAGTCTGGACTACATTTTTTTTAATTAAGTGATCTGAGGTCGGACGGGGCCAAATAATGTATACTAGTCAATGGGCATAATTTTTAAATTTCAATTTTGGGTCGACACGGCTGTGCAATGTGTTGCTGTACTTATATAAGACCCTTTATACCTGTTGTCGTTCCGGTGAAATACCGGAGCCGCTAGGATTCCGGTCTCCAACGCCGAAGAAGTCATAACGTCTCTGGGCATCATGTCATCCACTTTTGACTGGCATTCGCATTCAGTATGATTGTAAAACAGCAATGACTTGTGATAAGTTTGCTGTTCGATCCCTTTTAGATCGCCCAAGCCGGGTTCGGTCTGAAACACGTACAAAAAAACACAGATAAGGTACCTGCTATATATATATATATATATATACGTGTTGTAATCGCATCGGCATTGCGAGTTTAGGCACATCCAACTCTCCTCCAAATACATTTTCCCAGACAATTTGTTTATGTACAATTTACAAACGATACAATACAATAGAAATAGAAAATTTTACAAAACGTGCATTGAAAATAGTCATTTATTTCGTTGGAGATGTTTCACTGATTTTATACAGCAACAAAGGATGTAATTAATTAAAATAATGATCACGCAGGAAGAAAGAAAAGATAACTTTGGTTACAGGTGCAGAAAGTGAGTTGAGGATCGTTGAGATCCACACAAATAGACAAAATTTTAAAAAAAAGTATCTAATATACTTAAGTGTAAACAAATATTTAGTAGTAAATAACATAAAAAAATTAACACATTGTGTATAATTTTATAACCGATAACATAAAATAGACAGCTCGTTTTACAATTTATTTTACGATATTTTCATCATTGAGAACATTGACACTGCAAAATGTACAGTTGGTGCTTCAATTTGTTAACACTGGTGAGGTATAGAATGACCGTTTTGTATTACTCTATGTCCCAACTCTCACTTCTATAAAACTTATAAATTACCAACATTTTAGGCTAATTTTTGTAATTCAACGGTCTACGCGTCCCCGTCGAGTTGGCCATCAGCAATTTATAAAATGAAACGTGTATAATAACGAAATGACAAAGGTCCTACCCATTTTGAGGGTAAAACCGTTGAAATTGCCATTTCAGGATAAACACATTTTCCGTGGTTTGAGGTGTGGTGTATATACGAGCTGTCATCGTCATACACTGTTCCTCCCATCTGTCTCTGTAATAGTAGTCCTATATTTCTATTCATTTGCAATATTTTATTATGGGCGGCTTTTGCGCGCGGGTTTAGTGAGTCAGAATTTTATTGGATTTCGACGGAAATCAAACCTCCAGGGGTTAGCAATACGTGTTTTGGCCATAGAAAAGACAAATAGGAGACGTGACTAATATATTGACACGGTATTATTGTTTATTGCATTTTGGGCGTGTGAATACTTACAAATACCTACTTTTAAACATAAATAAATAGCCGCGCGGTTAACAGTTTATTTACTCGGGGCTCCACATACGTATTACACTCCTTTAGGCTTTTTTTCAAACGCGTGTGCTTTAACACTGTTAATTTATTGTTTTCAGTGGAAGCTGTATGGGAAATAATCCACTGTATCCTCTTTATTATGAGTTATGGCGAATTTAAAATGCAATACATCTTTAATATATTTATGTTTCAACTTGTATTTTAAAGATTGAACCAGGTCGATTGAAGTCAAATTTAACTCCCATTCGTTTTACAAAAATGAAAATGTGGCAATAGTCAAGGATTTTAGTAATGGTTTGCTAAGAGCCCACGAGACCTTATACGATTTTAACAACTATTATCTAATAATAATTAATAAACCATAAACGTTTAGTAGACTAGTCGACTTGGTGGTAAATGGTTTCTATTGTATTAGATTATCAAATAGAATCAGACACGCAACTCTCAAGTTAGACGTAGACTGTCAGATTTATCTTATACCGATAAGAAATTGTCTTTCAAAAAGAAGGCACATATCTGTTTGCCAAGTATTGTTCGATAACATTAGTTTGACTTATTGACCTTTTGAAGCTAGTAAATCCATCAGACACAACCACCATACGAATGCAACAAAAAAATGTTGTTCTCAAAATAGCTTATGAACCTCAATGAGGTGGAAGTAAACCGAAGAAGAAGTTGGGGATGTGATAAATAAATTACTTAGAGATAGAGATTTGTGGAGAGAGCTAGCTTGGCTGACTGATAAGTTTTCATAATGTAAGATCAAGTATGGAAATAATTGTAAAAAATGACTATGTATTTTTTTAGTAATTAGTAATTAGTATAAATAGATTTTGGTAATAAATAAGTATGATAAAAATTTAATAAAACTTCAATAATAATTTTCAGCTAGTTCTATAAAAAATAAATAACCGAACGTGATCCACAGTTCGATCGTGTTAATTATTGTGCAAATTCTTTTGAAAGTTGGCAATTCTTATTATTTGATTCCTACAAAATATAGAAAATATTTTATTTCTTAAAAATAATGAAAAAGATAGAACGCATGGTAGCGCTTTACACCGTTCGCAAAAATCATAAATTACCACTTTCAATTTTTAACCAAAGATCTGTGCCATTAAAGAACATAATACTTTAACAGGAGTGACCTTTTTATTTTATCTTCAAAATGGATTTTTTCACGCGCCAAACAGCCGGTGAACGTACTGCTGTACGTAATTTATTCAAGAAATAATGTTTATTTTTATTCTCTCATAAAGAAGTCGTTAAAGCCGTCGTTTAAAAAGTGCTTGCAGCCGTTAAATTTAACAGCCCGTCGAACTGTCTGTGAATTTCCACACAATATATGTATATCCGACAAAGTTTATGTCTTGTATTATAAAAATACACGAAAAATAATCAGGACGTTTTGGATTGTGGAACATTTCTACACGACATGGACGAATACCGTTATGCTTGTTGCGGTTCGAGTTTTTCAGTTTTTTCGATGAGACCACCGAAATGGGTTTTCCGTTTAGATTTCTCTGTGGACTTTGTGAACAAAAACGAAACACGTTAAAATATATAAATTGTAATTATAATTGATCATCACACAAAGGCGAACGCCGCTACGCGTGCCCTCGAGGCCCATCATTCTGAATACAAAAAGGCAATAACGCTGTCTGTCTCCGTCACTCTCAGTTTATTATGCGGTTTATAATATGCACATTACACACGCAGTGGTTAACGCCTCGCGATCACGGATTTCGTGATGGGAATTCAGAAACAAGCGTCAAAAACGAACAAACCGATTCGTGTTTTAAACTGGTATTCCGTTGTAAACGCTTCGTTCAAGTATAACATTTAATGTAATAATATAATTAGGTACCTATAACTTGTACTTAGTGTTCATTGTTATTTCGAAGTAGAGAAATCACAATGGATAGTCACATTGACTAGTTAAAAATCCAAATGCGAACTTCATATTTTTGTCGCGTTTTGAACTGTTTGGAAATGGACTAACTCGCCAAAGGGTAAACACTAATTAGTAGCTTGAAGTTTGAGTTTGAATATTATACTCAGACGGATCTAACAGACAATAGACTTAAACTAAACAGCATTTAGACCGTACACATTTCTTTCTGAACCGTGACGAATTTAAAGTAAAGTTCAACGATTTTTTTAAGTCGTTAGCTTTTAAGAATTCGTCAAGAAATTGAATGGTTCAGATACTAATTTTTCCACTTCATGTATTTTATATATTAATTACTGATATAGCAGTTTTGAATAAAATAAAATATTGACTATTGATATCAATAACGCGTTTATACCTACATCCGTTTAATTTATGCTCAAAAAACGGAATAGGTATAGATTAGTTCGGTCTCGCCGCTAGTATAGTTTGATCATAACCTTAACATAATATATCAATATATTATATAGTAAATGTAATTTTTAGTTAAGGATTTAAGTGCATGAACAATTTCATGTGAAATGTTCACACTAAGTTTTGAAAATTATACTAACGACGAAACATTTTAATACAATTTTTTTAATGAATAATATTTTGTATTAATTATGTACAAGACAAACCGCAATGTTATTTATGTGACTTATATTTTTTATTAAATTTTGATTTTTAGCTAAATAGATAATAAATTAATTTTTTATTACAATTTTTTTTTAAGACCTATTTAATAAAAGATTATTTCTTTTATAATATGATAATTGAGTTTCTTAATTTTGAAGAAGACATTTTTTTTTTATTAGTGGTTGGGTGGTTAAATGCTTGTCATGTTTGGTAGAACGACTGTCGTTTTTTTAATCAATTGTGACATAGCTTAATTATAACGTATATATATATATATATATAATTATACTTATACTTATAACGAATTAATTTATTAAGCTTTTTTTTTATGAATATAAATTAATTCCAGGTAGAGCGTGTATGACATTACAACTGGCCGACCGACGATTAAAACGATAATATATTAAGAATAAATTAAGATGCTCTAAAAAACACCATAATTTTATTCGTTTACCGCATCATCAAGTACCGGCTGACAAATTGAGACGTACTTCACTTCACATCATCTGGTCTATAATCTGTTGCCCAAAGACTCGGAGGTAGGCGTGGTGTTTTTCTTTAATTTCTTTCCACTATTTGTTTTTAAAACAATATAACCTCCGGGAGGATGGCCGTTTTTAATGGGAACCCATAATATCCTGTATACATGTACACACGGGATAATATACACATGTAATAAAAACGTATACTTACATACAATTATGTGTATATATATATATATATATATATATATACAAAAAACATGTCAGTTGCGGATCCGACGGTTAAAAAACAATAGGTCTAGATGATTGTATACTTTTTTACTGTTTTTTTTTTTTTTAGTTAGTTCATGTTACACAAGTAATGATGAACCGTTTTGTCGTATAAACGAGCGGACGATATATTTTAATCGATGAATAACAATATCGTCCCAATAGGCGTATTCGTGATCGCGTCGAGCCGACCACCATGAAATAGCAATTTACATTGGTAAGCATGTGTGGATATGTACGTGTTAATATTTTTAGCGGATAGACATTAAGAAAATGTACAAAACACCAACACGCGAGAAATAGAAAGCTGTTCTATAGGTTTGTCTAATTTCGGTGGTCCCGATCACCGGTAGGCGCGTACTCGTGTATAATTATAACTATGTGTTATACCTATATAAATGAACCTATATACCTAAGGCTAATTGTTCCACACGTATTAACCAGCAGACAATACATCATAGGCCGGTTCACATAATAATTCGCCAGCCGCAAGTAAACGTAGTTTAACCGCGCTTATTTCAAAATACGTCTAGACCGTTCTGGGCTAAGACTTTCGGAACGATTTTGCAATCCTTCATTTTCCATACGGGTTTACGAAGACTTGCCTGCATAACGTTGGACATATTCATTTCTCTGTCAGAATTAAGCGTTAACAAAACCAAATAGTCACTGAAAATCCCATGTGAACAAAATGATAACCCAATTTTTTATCGAACGCAGTATTAGTCAAATCTTAATAGCCCAAAGCAATACTGTGTCGATGTAAAACGAATTGAGTATGTAATTAGTAAAACGCGTATAATAATAATAATAACCATTTCCTAGAAATAACTTAAGCAACACTTGTGGTTATATATATATATATAGTAAAAAAATAAAATATTTAAATAAACCCTTAACTACAAAAATAATATTCTCATTATCTAATCTCGAAAAACGACTCTAATGTTCCACAAACAAACTAATAAACGTTTCAGGTCGTATTGATATTAACTTTTAAAAATGTATTAGTTAATTTATGTTGATGTTGGTCATTAAAAAATATCTTTTCTTGACTGTACGGCGTTTCATATATGCAATTTAAGATCTCTCATGTTAAGAACGTTACATTTCAAACTGCAAACAACTCTGTTAATGTGATATTTATTATTTATAATACAACAACAAATACAAAATGCGTAACTACAGTTTATAAAACATTTTAGTACATGTAATTTATATCAAAGCATATTATTATATATTTTAATAAATACTGTGTAGATTTAATTAGGTCATATTATTGTCGTAGATTTAAAAAAAATCAAGTAGTTTAATAAATAATCAAATATAAACGTATTAAAACTATGTATGTTAGTATGTACATATTGTTATCTATTAGATATAATTTGAATTTACGTAAACAAATTAATTCTTAATTATTTACCTATTTATTATTCATAAAATAGACGGAAAAAAAATTGAAAATGAGAAATTTAATCTGAAGAAAAACTTAAAAATCTATAGTTGCCAGTTGTTCTGGAGAAATTTAAAAATTAAATAATAAACATTTAAAGTTATGTGGATGATAAAATAACCAAAATTCTAAACGAATATGATGATGAACAGGAACATGAAACCACAATTTTTTTTCCATATTATGATACCTTTTAAATAATAGGTATATTTATTTTACTTTTTATTATGCAAATAATATTAGTTAGATTTTCAATTACCTTGTTTTTTTTACTTAACTCTGTTGTCACGGAAAGTTTTCAATAATTTGTTGTATTCTTTTTATCCACTACTGACTACAATGTATTAAAAAATTCCTACCTGAATAAATATGTAAAAATTATATATTTCAGAGATATGCTGGATTTTTCCAATTTTACAAGAAAATATATATTCTACAGAACTCCTTGAGATACCTACCGGGAAAATAAACCATACCCGATCTTATAGGTTTTTCTTCGCCCCCCTCCCTCTACAAGCCTGCTGGTTAGTATTTTGTCCATATAAAGTACTTTTGATTTAGTTACCTATAAAAAAACTTTATGTATAAAGAATTAAAGTAGTTGTAAATAAGTTTTACAAAACATTGTAAAAATATAATCACTTGATTGTGCAACCAATGCCTTCTCACTAGTTACTTCTTAACTCTACATTGCAGATGAAACGTACGGACCTAGGCTACCTTTAATAAATTAAGGTATACTAAACAATTCCAACTTATAATACTCACGTGAAATATTTAATTTATAAAGTATGGGACTCAACGCTCTGATCTAGGCTCTGAGGCTATAAATTTATAATGTAGATTAATCGCAGTTTTATTATCATAGAATCGTTCTAGTGGTACTATTAAAAATAAAAGCAACCCATTGAACTCAATAAATGTTTCAGGGCCATGTCATGTTTTGATGAGTTAATAATTTTCAATCTACGAAATTTTCACAATGTAAGCCCGTTGGCGCAGTGTAAAGATCCTTTACCCTTAGGTCAACATAAAAAAACAATCAACTGCTTCGACCTTCAAAATGCAATTCAGAGTGTGAATATTATCATTAATTAAACAATAGTTTAATTAATAAAAATCGATTCACAAGATACATCGTCGGCTTCTTGCCAAAATTCATTAACAGCGAATTGTCCATTTTTTTATGGCGCCATTTAGTGTGAAACATAATTTTCTTTCGATTGACAGGAAGTGTTCATAGTGAATTTCCCACTCTAAATACCTTTTTATTAATAATTTCATATTTTAATTAACGGCTAATATAAGAAATCGATAAAGCGAAAACTCATTAATGGTCAATGGTTTAGTGAGTTTTGGCTAAATTGAAATAACACATGTTTTATTGCTACGGGCTCGTATCAGTGTTATCTAAAATTCATTATCGGTCCAATAGTGATGGTCTATTATATGTTTTAACTTTTACAGCACACAATAAATAGCCAGAATTCATTATTGGCGCGGATTTCACCAATATTGCTTTTTACAATTAATGCCAATAGAAATCATCGTTTTTCTATTTAAAAGAACTCATTAACGGTTAACATAAAAAAATTAATGATATAAAAAACTGTGTTATGTTACATATTATTGAAAAAATATATATATTTTTGAATACAGTAATTATATAATATCAGGTTTCATAAAAAAAATACATGAATACCTTAAAATTGAAAATTCTGTAATGTTAAGACCAAAAATTAAATATTTAAATAACTTTAAAGTCATTTTCTGAACAATCAACTTTTTGCCGTTAATGAATTTTGGCAAGAAGCCGACGACATGATGTGTGATATGTGTCTTAACAACATGGTTTGTTATAAGTTATAAGTGTATTATATACATAAAACAAAAGTCAATAATTTGTCTATTATTATATTACATAAGACACTATGCAGGCATTGCAAAATAGGTCTCAAATAACTACAGTAGATGTAGTATTTTCCATAGTAAAAATAAGTATTATACCTACCATTAAATAGTATTCGATTTGTTTTTTCGAATATATTTATATTTGCTTGGTGTACTCACTAAACAGTTATGAATGAGTTTTGAATGTAAAACGACGAAGCTAAAAGTGAATGTAAGTGTCATGAAATATAGTGCAGGCGTGTACGTGATTTTCACGGATAACTCAATGTCAAACCTTATGCACGACAAGATTAATTAACTAAAGCAATCTGTTACGTTGACAGAGGTTCGAATGGTTAATCAGCTAATGAAAACTGCTTTCAAAAAGACGTATGACCGTTAAAAATGAACTGCCGGGTTTAGATTGTTTACAATTTCTATAATAATACAACGAATAGAAAGGGTCGCTGGCTATTGTCGATATTGGTCCACACCAGTTCAGGTGGTCAGTGTAGAAAACAATAATACACAAACAGTTATAATGATACATGTCGATACGACGTGACTTTGGAACTTGGTCATTAAACCGGAGGACGTTGAAGTTTTTGAAGTTAAGCGGTGAACCAATAATTTCGATCGACGTAGGTCTGGACAACACTGCACCTAGGTAGCGGCATTCGAATTCCATTGACACGATGGCACAAAATATTTGTGTAGAGGAAAACGTTAATTGCGACAGTCCCATTGTTCTACAACGTACAATTCTGAGAATGCCGCCGTACGAGATTCGATACTATTGCCTAGCCATATTATATCTGTCTGTACAATATATTGTAATGGATTTAATTTTGCATAATACACATTTTGTTTGAAAATATACTTTTTTATATTAATTGTATGCGCCTGCAGAAGACGAAGGACGGTTCACACCCGGTGCCAACGAACTTGTATGTCACAAGCGCATGTTCGTGCTGCCAGAACGAACTCGAGTTACAAAGTAAACCCAAAACAAAGTATGACATGTCAATTGAAATCGGACAATTAAACTTGCGCAATTATTATTAGAATATATGTCTTAAATAAATTGTAGCGTTTTTACAGCGCCGAATACTTACAAAAACCAAAAAGGGCAAATGCAGAGGTTGTGTGGACTTGGGCCCGCATTTCAGCAAAGGACTGCCGCAGCATCCAGTGTCATCAGCGCACACGTGAAGTACCGTGCACGATGGTATATATTTTTTATTGGAACTGGGATAGACGTCACTAGCTTTGATTACCCGAGGTCGGGGCACTTTGCATGAAGCTTCTTTGGAGATGCGTAATTGATGTTTGTAGGCTTCGGTGTTGTCGTTTTCGCCTATTAAACCATTTAGAAACAAATATTTTTAAAAAAACCAATAATTTTAATTAATTACGACGTACACGTTAAAGCTGTCATGTTAAATATATGAAATTTACCGGTTTAAATATTATAGGATTTTGTGTTTTAACCATTTTATGCAAATGCACATTTAGAATCTTAATCGGAAGTCAATATAGTAGGTGTTTTTTTTAAATATTTAGTTAAAAAGGGGGTAAGAGTTTTAAGAGTTATAAAAATAAGTAAAAAAATGAATATTTAAACCCTTAACCATAAAAATAATACACTCTATGCGTATACGTATTTCGGCAACAATGCGTTGTTATCTTCCGCGCCAAAGACAGACTGAGCTTTATAAAAATAAGAATGTAAAAAATAAATCGACTATAATACTGCTTTGATATCCTAAATTGAATCCTAGTTTGTCCGGGTTTCACACAGCTGTATTGTATTACAGCGTATGTAGATTATACAATTGTATAAATGGCAAATGCGTTAATACTTGCATAAACGAGGAGTGTATAATTGTTTATTGTATTCTCTGCCGTGTGTAAGGCCAACAATTATCGGATAATAATGTAAATTAAATGCAAATAAATGCGATTTCTGTGCATGTTAGAATGTCATGTTAAACAACGTCTAGTAACTGCACGATTCTTAACCCTGAGTACATAGGTATGAACTTTAATAACGGTCACTAATAACCAATACATACCTTGGTGCACACTAATCCTTTGTGAATTCCGGAACGTTTCTTCGACTGTTTTTCTGGAACCGAGAAGTCTCCATTTGTTTTCTGATATAGGTGACATAGTTCTTGCTGGTTCATGTTTTTGTATGTTCTAGAAACCAAAATTAACTAATTATATTTTTGTAGACTCTCCTATTCCTTTTTCAAGAATTTTAGTGCTAATTAAAATAAACTAAACTTCAAAATAGTCAAATTACGAAACATATATTAGTAACAAAAAATTATACTTGTGGCACACCGAAATGTTCTCGTTTTATATCGTATACTTCTTATTTATTAGTTAGGTTTTAGTGATTGAGTATTAAATCATCTTTTACTCGTTCTCTAAATATTTAATTTAGAATCTCTTGTTTTTATTAGTCATGTCTTAATGATTTTAAATTTTGCGTATTATAAAAGATGTTTATGTTTTATTATAAATATCTAAATAATAATTTAACTAACTTTGGCCCTTGTGAACATTAAGTTAAATATTATACAGTATTTTGAAATTATAAGCAAATTATTGGTGATCTCTTGGTGTAGGACTATGATCGAAGACCGACGTAGTAGTTTTACATATAATGACACATAAAACCTGATTAGGAGTCGGACTCAGTTGTCAACTTGCTAACTCATAAGTGATTAACATTTAACACTAAGGAAAACATACCTATTATAATATACTACAATGTACGAGCATATATAACTCTTCTGAGTCATCGTGGTTCATGGTTTCAAAACTATTGACTACATCTACATAATATTAGGAAAGGATAATCTTTTAACTTTAATATTTTTAGTCATTTTAAATGTATAAGCTTAAATGTTGAAAATATTGCAATTGTCATTGTGACTTGTGTAAAATTCCAGAAAACAATATATGGCAAAAAAAAAATAGATAGCAATCGTATATTAAATGTCCAATGCTTAAGCATTACAATTAAAACCAATAATTATAAGTTTATTATTTTGTACAATTATTACATTTATTATTTTGTTGTTTTTTATATCGAAATTAAAAACATATTTATGATTTATCATTCAACGCTCGAAGTAAACTACATTATCTTTGTTATTGTTTTTCAAATTGTTGTGCCATTTCGATCTACTACAATCATTTGACCTCGTTTCGAATTATTAAATTTAATGTGAATTTTTCACTGATTGACTTCTTAATTTTTAACCACAATGCGACCTGCGTATATAATTACACCAATTATCACTACATATCATATTTTCAATGTGTTTGTTGATAGTTGGAGTTACATTTATACTAATTGATTATACCCAGTTAAATCTTAATAAACAATTTGATCAAAATATATTAAAATTTGTTATTTTTATAATAATCTCGGAGTTCTTAAACTACATTCAATTTAAGCACTCTACGTGTTACTCGTTTAAAACCATAAGGTTTACTCGGTTTTTATTTTTCTATTTAAGGAAAATGGGTTGACACTTATCAGTTGCCGGTAATTCAAATCTAAATAACCACTTGGTATAAATTCACGCATATCCAACACACGTACGTATATCTACATGCTACATTGTGTTATTCTTGTGTTAGACGTTATGAATAACGTCCGACGCGTTGCAGTTGTAATCAAATGGGTATACCTATACCTCCACATCTGTGCAGCTCAATTCTCCTATAGATGTTTATCGCACACCGCATTATTATGATTTACACGCGTAGACTAGTTTTTTACAGACAACACATTATGGTCGTCGCAGAGCTTGTGTTCTTAGGTCTTTTACATAATATTATTTGAGACGAGTGACCGCGAATTAAGTATTACAACCCAGCCAGGGAGACTCCCACACGTTTTGTGTTTTTCATCACCGTGCCGAAAATTATACACCTCGCCCCGGCAGCAAACTAAACTCGCTAAACGTTTATAAACACCAGTCTAGGAGGTATAATTCTAATCCTGTGTGTACCATTAACGAACACAGAACTCGAATGTAAAACCCACGGATAGCGGGTAAGGTACAAAAAAAAAGAATATATGATCGCAGTCATCTCGGTGGTTGCATACAACGAGCCTATTGTGGCACCTACGTGTGAATAATAATATAATATGGTATATTTGTTGCATTATATTATATGCCCGTTTTGCCAGTAAACTTTATCGACTTAACAACAGTGAGGTGGTTTTCATTCGACATTCACACGCAGAGTTATTCGGGCATTATTTGAATAATATTTTATCTAAATAAATATTTAAATAATTTTTTATTCGAACACCCATCGAATATTTTTTTTAGTTCGAATAAATTATTCGAATGATCCGACAAATAGTTTTTCGAATAACCGTCGAGTCATTTTTTTTATTTGAATAATTATTATTAAAAAAAAAAAAAATTATTTGTTCCGGTTTTTTTTTAATATTTTTTTTTTCTTAATTATTTATTTTAATTATTAATTATTTAATTGTTGACACAATTAAAAAAAAATGTATTGCGCGTTTATTTGAATTAGCTTTATCCGAATAAATCATCTTAAATAATATCGAGATAATAAAGAGATCATTCGAAAAAATTAGTTATTAATCGTTATTCCAATAAAAATGTCCTCCTCTGTAAACGCGGCATCAATACCGTACTATAATTAAATTACTATTTAACCTTCGCTAAAATGATATTATGTTGTTATGGTATATTAATATTTTATTTAAAAATAGAATCAAACAAACATAAATCGTATAATGTCGTAGTATGTTTAAAGAACAACGTTGATTTTTTTGTGATGACTTATATCACACAATTTGTATTTTGTACAATAACTGAAACCAGTGATAAATCCGTTGGCAAAAAGTGGCTGTTCAGAATATAAACGAGTAAATGCATTTTATAACTACAATATTATAAAACAAAAAATTATACACGCGTGCCAAATACACATACAAAATACGTCTGTGCTAACGTAAAGCAAACTGTGTAGTAAACAAAGTAACGTAGCTACTCCGAAGACTTGTATTGGTGCCAATAAATGCAGGCAATGACTATTTTAGAACCGATAAAACTATGATTAAAACAGTAACTATTGTTATTAAAATGTAAATATTGCAATTCCAAAAAACCATAATTATTTTATCTTACGGTTATGGGTTATGATTGGACTCAACACAGCCAGATTATTTTTTAGACGGTATTCGACTTCTGTAAATGGTCATAGCGTAAACACAACTCGAATCCTAAACGTTAATAGCCGCTTATAATTAGTATACACTTTTGTTATGATATGCATAACATTGCCACTACACATTATATGAATGGACAGCCGAACATTTCATATGAATTCTCGCACAACTCGTCATCGGCCTGATGTATGCACATGAAGGAGAGACGATTTTTTTACTAACGCTATTTTGGCACAAGCGAACATAAAATAATAAGAGTTACCTACAATGACTGCACTGGCAACTATATGTTGTCTAACCGGAATACGCTTCTCTATAAAAGGTGAGATAATTGATTTTTCCACCCTGTACTCTTCAATTATCTCATACCGTGATAAATTTATAAATACACCACTGTAGTACACAATTTGTACTTAAGTGTTTCTACATTCCCTAAGATAATTTTACGTAATTTTCCTCTAGCGCAAAAAGAATATTAAATATTAATGGATTTCGAACAAGTTGTTGTTGTATCAGTTTGAAATTAAATTAACAAGTTTTCGATTATGCGGTTTTTGTATTGCCACGTTGCCAAATAGTGAGGTATTCATTCAACGGTTTCTTGATATACCGTTGTATGCAAAATAATGCTAAAAAAATCATGTAAAATTAAAGTAGTGAGGTGCATCTGAATACTAGGAAAATAAACGATAGCGGCCATTTGTATGGTCTAAGAATAATAACGTTTCATTTAAAGTCATATAAGAACAGTAAAAAACGATAAAAAATAGTACAATATGCCAAACGATGTATCAAATGCCGTTTTTGAATAGTCTAATTTAAAACATAATATTTATATTCATACAACACACAAAATCTGAGTTCATTTTTAGTAATCAATTATGACAGGAAATGAAAGTAAACCATTTGTTAGTTATTTTTAAAGTGTTTATAAAAAAAAAAATGTTTTAATCTTAAAAAGTTAAACATCTGAAATACATCCAATAAATACTTTCTAGTTTCCATCATAATATCCGCTTGCATACCATATTATGTTTGCTGATAACATTGATCAATGTGTTGACAGGCAGGATAATTAGTACAAAAATGTAAGACAATCTTGTCTATAAATTACTTATCTTAGCAGTTTAATTTAATTAGCAATTATTAGATTTAAAAAATAATATACTTCAACTTCGTAAAGGTATTTGTTAACCTACAAATACAGGTACAAACTACAACTTTTCCAACTTTACAATAATACATTTCTTATAAAATTTTTTTATTTGACCCAGAATTGATTAAATAAGTACCTATAGGGTTTACAACGATAAGTTATTTTTATCATAAATGTGACAACGTTGATATTCGAGTTTTTCTTTGTAAAGTAGATCAGACGATCTACAGATTCAGAGTGGATATGAAAAGGATCATTTCGATACCTAAAAGCACACAAGTGCTATATAACGTGCACATAGCACTTGTGTGCTTCAAGGTATCGTTTTGTTCAAAGACAACGATATTTTTCTTTTAAAATCTGCCAGAAATGCCATAATTATTTTTCTATTTTATGTGATTCAACTTTTTAATGTAATTTAAAAAATGCCTTTTTTTGAATAGCTACTTCGAATTTAAAATATAGGTAGTTAAACACTTGTTATAATTATTTTAAAAAAGTCAATTTTTTTTATATTCAATCCACTTTGAGTATTGTACCGTACCATAAACTAATTTTGTTATAACTATTATCATAATTTATTATGTTTGAATGAATTATTGAAAAATTGTCTTACAATGGAAGAAGTATTTCAATGTTTAACACGCATTAAGTATACCTTTATGAATATAATATTACATTAAATATAATATAAGATTTAAATTTGTAATATGTATTCACTATTTCGTCACATGCCATCTCTTAATTTTAATCGAATGGAAGTATTAGTAATAATATGTCATATTAAAAAATGTTAATTTTTATAATTTA